TCAACCATCAATGGTCAAGTAACCATGGGTATCACCACGCCGGCAGATCTGGCCCTCGACAACGGCACCATGCCCATGGAGCATATGCACCAATCCCTCTTCGCCTACTTTGTTCAGACAGAAGCCATGGCGAGCAGCTCCATGCAAGCAAACGGTGTGAACTCGGCAGCCCTGTTTCGACAAGCCGAGAGTGTGGAGGAGATGGATCGCATCGTCGTCGAATCCTTGGTAAGGAAGATAGCACGTGCACTGTCCATGTCTTTGGAAGACGTAGATACCGACAAGGCTCTACATTTGTACGGAGTGGATTCGCTCGTTGCGGTGGAAATTCGTAATTGGATCACAAAGGAGTTCGTGGCGGATGTGCCGGTGTTCGAGTTGATGAGCGGAAAGTCGATTCTGGCTATCGCGCAGCTGGTGACTAAGAACAGCCAGATCAGGAAGACGGTAGCCAAAGCATAAGCTTTGTCGAATTCCAGGTTGCCAGAGCAGATCCGTACCTGTGCCAGAACAAACTATCGCACTACATTTTGATCAGGCGGGCCTCGTCTTTCATCCACTATGATCACCGTGCTCATCGCTTAAGCTAAATATAGCTTCACTTTGCCGTACTTTATTTGGCCTACGAGCTGACCACGGTATGTCGTCGTTTGGGGCGGGAGGAAAGAGGTCATCGGGCGGCAGGACCGGTGGATTCGACGGTTTTTGAGGCACTTAGGGAGTCCGGAGAGGCGGGCGATGTGGATATAATATTCTCAATAGAGTAGGCGAGATGAGCGCCATCGATTGCGCGAGATTCGACGATGAATCGACGTCATTGCGCGTGGCAGTTTCGCGCTGTAGGTAGTAGTATACGCGCGATCAACCCCACGCGCTGCGGGTAGCGCGCGGGAGTGGGACCAGCCCGAGGCCGAGAGGAAGGTGGTGACACTCCAGCTGATCTAGTCGAATCGGCTGAGGGACTCGCGGACCGCCTTCCTCAATCCCGGAGACGTCTTTGATACGTCTGACATGTTAGCAAAAGAATGTATATGTGTGTAGGTGCGGGGGTGAAAGTTCTAAAGAAGAAAAGATGAGGATTCTCACTAGGTAGGCATCACGCTAGTGGGCATGGAAGGTACCAATAACAACATGAGATGGCTCTTTCTTGACAACGTGCACGCTGAGCCAGGATCTGAGCGTTGAGGCACGGACTCCACGCTGAAGCCATGAGCAGTGACATTGTGTAAGCATGTCCTTTGCACGAAGGCGACTGCAACAATGGAGGTTTGACTGGAGTAGAGGAATCCCGATCACTGCCAGCTATACGAAATACGTCGCCCTTGTCCGCAACTTGAATCCTATAGCTTCCACGGCCGGCGATCCCTAAGCGTATGTGGGGTAACCACATTCGCGTGACTGCATCCAGGGTCTGTTTGGGTTCCATTCGTACACAACCTAATCGCTCGTGGGCTGTCTACAAGGATCGCATCTCGCCGCTGAAAGGCCAATACGATGTAAGAAAGGAAGTAGGTCAGCTCTGTAAAGCCAAGCAGCAGGCGTAGTCGTGCTTTTTCAGCTCATCAGAATTGAGCATCGATTTGGCATCATCTGAGGAAGAGCCCTCACTCTACTGAAGATAACGGCGCGTTTCATTTCCCGTGATCAGTTCAATCTTCTGTTCAGGGTGCTTAGTATACTTCGATCGCACTATCTCCCTCCGCTGGCTACTCAAAGCAACCTTGCTTCCAGTAGCATTTTACCAAATTTAGGAAGACACTCACGAAGTTACGGCTGCTACAACTATTCTATTCAAGAGACAAACGTAATGCCAATCACTACTAGATTCATACTAGAATGACTTCTCTTAAATCCTTTTCCTGCACATCTGCAACTGCCTCGCCCTGCATGATGCCGTGAACATACGCCTCGCCAACCAATCTGTACTCACCCGACGATGCGGACGGACGCAAGACCAAAGGAACGTCAGCACCAGGCAAGATCCACACCTCATCTCCAACTTCTAAGACTGTAGGACCCATTCCCAAATCACCCCTTTCTGTTACAAATAGTAGCCTTCCCGTAGCTGTCGCCGAGATCTGAAAATCAACATCATCTTCGGTTTTGACTCTGGCTTGATTCATCCTGTCCGTCAGCTTGTCATGGAACGCCTCGATGACCAAGTCATCCTCCGTCTTGTCTCCACTCTGAGCTCTCCGATCCTCGAAGTCGACAAATTCTGGAGGGAAAACAATGTTATCCATCTCTTTGCACTGCCCAGTGATGCGTTGAAAGGCAGTATATGTAGCTCCCAATAGCAGCCTGGCTTTCTCAAAGTCCGCGAGGCTACGGAAGTCTTCTGGTGCAGCGTCTAATGACGCCTGAGCTTTGTCCCGAATCCCAATCATATATTCAGCGTATCGTAAGCTAAATGCAGCGAACACCTGCCGGTAGAGCACAGTTCGCTCAAGCAGCTCCAAGAACGAGCTGCCACATGCCCTGGGCGCAGGTGTCTTTTCTTCGAATACGTCCAAGAGTATTGTCCTCCAGAAGGTCTCGAATCTTGTGTGCCCTTTCGGTGGATTCACCTTCTGCAGAAGCAGAGACAACTCTGGCATTGCTGCCCACGTGAACGCGACACCGATACTTAAGATCGTCTCGAGCTTGAAACCTCTCAACTGAAGCCTACTATCAGGCAGATATAGTGGATCAAGCCACCCAAGCCCTTTAGAGGTAGCAAAGGTTTTGTGTTCGTTGATCAACCTTACTGGATTTTGAACGGTAAAATCCGGCACCCAAGATGGTAAGTCGAGTGTCGGTTCTGCATCAATAGGGTATTTCTTTACCGAAAATATCTGCAAGCTCTGCGATTGCCCAAGAAGATATCTCGTTACGTCCACGAAGACTTCTCGGGTACTTAACTGGTAATTCACCACTAGAGGACGTGTCTCTTGCTCCGACGAAAGACCCACAAAAGCGTAGACTTTATCACGGGCATCACCAGACTCCGTGTATCGATACCATTCCAAAAGCTGCATCAAACTTGGCCGCTTTAAAGTTGATCCGTCTCTGGTCCAGCCATCGAATGTCCCTATGGAAATTCTGACTTCTCGGATAATGGACCCGAGGGTGCTGTCCAGCACGTGTGTCTTCTTCGGTCGATAAAGTTTGACAGAGCTCTTAGCTGAAGTCACACCCGAGCTAAAATCAGTCTCCGCCCGGTAGTTCTGTATAAGTGGCTCTGCCATCTCCCTCAGCTGATGAAGCCACCTCGATTGTTGCAAGATTTCAAACGACTTAAGGATAACTTCAATACTCCCCAGCTGTCTGCCACACATGAACCACGGCTCCCGAGCAAGTGCGACCTCCTGAACTATCCAAGCCCTCTTGAACCAAGCACGATTCAAGAAGAGAAACACACCGATCCAGGACGTATAATCAAGTTTTGATATCCCTAGCTTCTGGTATGTTTCATCGGATGAGATATCAAAACTTCTCAACTCTTTTGGATCTCGTTTCTTCCGTTGACAAAGCTGTACAATAGTGATGAGATCATGAAACGCCTGAGCAGATAGTCGGTCACCACCGCCAAGCCATGCAAAAACGAGGCGCGCTTGATGGTAGATACGACTCATCATCATGACTTGACTACTTTTCTCTTCTAGGTCGTTCTGGTTGATGCACAAGGCATCGATCCAGAAAAGGCCTGAGCTTTGAGGTGCATCGGAGAACCTGGGGTCTTTTTGGTGCGCCAAGTGACTACGAAGCCCTAATAGAGCCGCGTACAGATTTGAGCTGACTGAGACTGTCTTCCCATCCACTTCGATATCGAAGGCACGTGCTGCCCAAGCGTCTTGCGATGAGATATCTTGAGTGCTGAGATAGAGGGTGCAAGGATCACCCCAGGTGTAAGAGAGGGCGTCGTATACCACGTCGTCGTTGAGGTCTACCACAATAAGTGAGCATTCCACCGGCGGACGGAATAGTTCGAAATCAGAGTAGCTCTCTCTAGAGTTATCCTCTGACCCTGGATGTATCCTAAGAAGCCGGATAGATGTAGTGGTTGGAAGGTCTCGATAATGAATATCTTTAAAGTCCTTCGGCTCCATTTTCTCACAGCCTTCCGGCGGTCTTATGATCGGCAAGCGTGACTGACGCTGGGGTAGTTTCAGATGGTTCACTTGCGCATTACCCCCGTGTGAGTATAATTCTGAGATTGCAGTTTCTTTGTTGTCCCGAAGTGAATTGCGACTCTTGCCTGGCGTTTGAGGAGCCATAGGTTCGTGAAGCCAATGGCGTGTGCGATGCTCAAGTTGCAAGAAGAAACGAGGGTGACCAATGTGTCGACGTAAGACGACGCGAGAATTTATTAGGGGTCAAGCGGCGGCCTGATGCTCTCACTTGCTAGCTGTCAGCTTGTGGTGCCGCGTGTTCTGTCGCCTTGCGATGTTCGTGGCGTTCCTTTGTCGCATGTTTCTGGCCCCCAATGATTTGTGACCGACCAATGAGAGTCTGCCAACTTGTACTTCAACCTAGAAATTCGCGTTTTTGGTATACCGATTGATTACAAACGAAGCACGTAAGTCAATACGTGTGCGCTCATGTCCTAGAGGGAAAGATGTGACCAGTATCGTCGCAAGTGGCTGCATGTAGGCGTGGCAGAAGGCTGACCGGTCAGCGAGTGACCAAGCTCAGGAGGGGCTGCATACAGTGCGGGGCTGCTAGCTGTTCATTTGAATAGGGAAACCAAGAAAACGACGATTGATATCTAGTTGAACAAATACAATACAACGACCTCGAACAGATCGCAAGAGGAGATGAGTTCATGATGTTGAATGGCTTTACGAAAGGGAAAAGCGAAGGCGATGACTGCGCTTTCAGCTCATTGCGGGGAAGAGGTCGCGCTTGTTGTCACACCAAAGTGGCGCAAACGTGCAGGACCACCATAATCAGGCAAAGCGTTCGTTCCCTTATCTCTATGCAAGTGTTCCATGATCGAGCTATGTCAATATCTTGAATACTCAAAGCAACCCTGCCCTCAGTAGCTTGTTTCCGAACTCCAAAAGATAGTAATCTGCATATACCAACCCATGATCCGCGTATTTCTTGTGCGCATGCTCATTCCAGTTCGTTGTACTGTTCCTCAGTATACACTCGAAACCTGTCTCTTTAATTTTCAGCTCCGATGCTGTCGCGCCACCGTTAACGCCATTCCCATTCACCATAGCCTTGACGGATGCTTCAAAGGACGCTAGATCGGAGTCGTAAGACATGTGTAGGGTCTGCGAAACGATATGGAGTGCGATATCGAGGAAGTTTGTGTCACTGTTGGCGGACAGTTGAGATGCAGCGGTGGATGAGAGGGATTGGAGTGATTGGTGAATGATGAGAAGGCCATTGGCTGTTATGACGCCTGCGGATGCGTCGCGTAACGGCTCTGTTGGGTTATCTTGTGGCGCATCGAAATCCCAGCACGGGACCATGGGGTGGTGCCACTTGCCTTCGCCTTCTTCTAACCTCCCCAGAAAGTACTGTGCGCATTTGATCGCTGTTCCGAGATATTTCACGTCTTTCGTCCATGAGTACGTCTGCGCGAATCCCATGATCGCCCAGGCCTGGCCTCGACTCCATGTCGAATCGTCTTTCCAGCCTTGATTGGTCATCTTGGCTTGTGGTTGGCCGTTACGTGGATCGAAGTTTACGAGGTGGTACGAAGAGAAGTCTGGGCGGAGAATCTCATGTATGATCGAGTCGGCGTGCTGGGTTGCAATGTTGATTAGCGATTGGTCATTCTTGATGTGGCCAACGAAGTACAGGAGGTCGAGATCTATAACATGTGAGTAAGCGACATAAGATATAGGAACGGGCCAGGTTGATGCCTTACTGCACATGCTATCTATAATGACGAGGAAGTTTGTTGACATGTCTGTGATGGAGTAACGATCATTGATCGCAACATCCCAACTTCTGATCGCCTTCACGCGATCATCGTATCGCGATGCGAGCGCATATGCCGCGTTGACAACAGACTGCAGACTTTCCTTGTTGCCAGTCAACTCCCAGTCTTTCTGCAATGCGGGTTGGACAATAAAGCCCATATCATGGGTGTCTGTCCGACTCGACATCTGATTGATAGCAACGCGATAGTGTTGTCCTAGCTTCAACAGCTGGTCTCGTACTTGTGATTGGATATGCTGTGGGACATCAATGGCTTGCGGGTATCGTATCGAGCGTTCGAGAAGCGCGTATATGCAACCTGGAAAGAATCCACATGTCCAGAAGTCTGCTTCCCGCTCTTCGTACCGTCCTGCGTCGGGGCCTACTTGAGGTACGGTATGGGGATACGATTGTAAGGGTGCCTGGAGTTGTAAGATGTAGCACTTCATATAGGTGCACCTGTTGAAGCAGATGGGTTGTACCGTACCTCTTGTTTCAAACCTCGTTGTGCGACTTGCACGATCTTAGCCAATACACTCTCAGAGTATATTTGGCTGAGGTCGACATCTTTAATGCTAGATACACTCAGTATCAACCTAAAACGTTTACATGAGCCATCGCTTACGTTGCGACCTTTGATGGCATCTTAATTTCCTGTACAGCGCCTCCCATTTTATGTTCGCGGTTGTAACTCTTGAATGACGTATGCCGTATACAAGATTGTGTTCGTGTACGATGCGGCTCTACAGAACGTTCGATCGCGGTTGAGCAGAGGAAGGAGCTTGGGAGCAAAGCGAAGAACAGCCAAGATGGTGCTTCTTGCGAAAAAGCCTACATCGGACGACGCGTGAGCTGTCGCGCGTATTGGTGTGGGGCTATTATCCATACCGGGTTATCTCGCGACGAAGGTTCAAATGTCGGGGTGTAGGCTAAATGTGGGATCTGCATTGTACCGATGCCCGCTACCCGGCCGTTTGCACAAGCTCAGGGCGACGCCCGCTACAAGCACGTCATTCTTTTCTTGACTCTTGTGCCTTGCTTGCGCTCGTGATTGCACACTCTTGGACGTGTGGACGGCCTTCCAAACGAGGTATCCTTTCCTGCCACCGTCGTGTTTGTCAAGCCTTGGCAGCGTCGTAAGGTCCAGTGTGGGCTGGGCTTCCTACTAATTTCCCCGCGCCGTAGTATCTTCGAAGTCTGGGTTAATAGTAGAATTGCTAAGAGATAGATGCGGAACTACTATGGCCGTCAATATCGAAGCGCGCTAGAATGTATACGATCAGTCTTAACCCAGTCCGCATAAAGACACTGGCATCCATAGCACAAAACAGATTCAGCAATACTTCACTCTACACATCTTCAAGATGCGGTTCGCAGATGCAACTGCAGGACTCCTGCTGGTATCCCTTGCTGCTGCTGCGCCATCGTCGGCGTTGAAGCGTGCAGCTTCAACCCTCCCATTGTCGACGAAAGGACGAGACATCATCGATGCGAACGGCGATGTCTTCCATTTCATGTCGACAAATTGGCCCGGCCACCAAGAAATCATGATCCCTGAAGGTCTCCAACACTCTTCAGTGGAAGATATTGTATCCTGGTTCCCCAAGCTTGGCCTCAACTCAGTCCGTATGCCGTTCGCCATCGAGATGGTGGATGATTATCTCGAGAACAGCCCAGATCAAACTCTCGAGAAGAGTGTCCTGAACGCAATTCCGGGAACCAATGGAACGGATGTATTGAACTCGATTTTGGAGAAGAATCCGCAGTTCACCAAGAACACAACCCGCCTGCAAGTGTGGGATGCCGTTGGTAAGGAATTATCGCGCCAAGGCGTGATCATCCACTTGGACAACCACGTATCGAAGGCATTCTGGTGTTGCGGCGACGACGACGGTAACGGTTGGTTCGGCGAGAAGGATTTCGACGTGGAGAAGTGGAAGCGAGGCTTAGCTTTCATGACTAAGTTTGTAAGTACTAGAGAACAACTCGATCAAGGTACAGATGCTGACGAACCTAGGGAAAGGAAAACTGGTCGACTTTTGCATCGATAGGATTGCGCAATGAACTGCGTGCTGCCAAGGTGGCTGAGCCTGTCGACTGGTATACGTGGTACATCCACATGACTGCTGCTGCCGATGCCGTCCATGAAGCGGATCCCGATGCTCTGATCTTCTTCTCTGGTCTCTCATACGATACGTACATTGACCCGATCCCTCTAGGTAAGACACTCAACGGTACTGCCGGCACGTCGACTGCCAACAAGACCGCCAAGTTCGTCCCGGACAGCTTTGCCTGGAAGGACAAAATCGTTCTGGAGATCCACAAATACGACTTTGAAGCCACCCAAGACGATTGCGCAACCTTCAAGAGGAAGTGGTATCAAAAGGGTTTCCAAGCAGTCAACCCTGACGACCCAGTGACCAAATACACCTTCCCGATGGTCATATCAGAATGGGGTTTCATCCATAATGGAACTTACTGGAACCAGACCACCTACGCGAAATGCTTGGTGGAGATGGTGAAGGAATACCAGGTTAGTTGGCAGCATTGGGAACTGTCGGGTAGCTTCTATCTCCAGACGCGTCCGAACAGAACGCCGAACACGCTCATTGGGGCTGATGAGGCTTGGGGTCTGTTGAACTATGATTGGACTGCCATTCGATCGCCCATTACTTTGGAGAACAGCTTGTACAAGATGATTGAGGCGTTGAGATGATGGACGGGCATAGCATGTAGTATGTAGGGAACGACCTGTAAAAGCAATAGGACGATATCAAAGCCCCTACAGTCTCTTGCGTGTATGTTGTATTGAATGACGTTCTTCGCGTAACGATCGGTGCGATCTGACGTTTGCGCAGTCGTTATGCATAACGTTTTGCGGTACCAACGGGTTGTTGTAAGATGAATCGGCACTTTACACTTGTGCAACATACTTCCGTCGACTCGAAGTGACGAGAGGGCAGTGTGATCATGAAATGACGCGTGCCAGAAGTTGTGTGAGAAGGTGTCCGCGTATGTGCCGCGTGAAGGCGCGCCATCCCTTGAGGTGAGTGCGCTCGTTCGTGACGTCATACTTCTGTCTTCCAGCACGCATGCATCTGCACATGTCGCTTGGAGGAACTTGGAGATACGATATGTACAAAGCTGATACATATTGGAAGTTTTTCCGACGATTACTATTCGTTTTTAGGCGAACAATGGGCCGAAAATGCGTGTCTGTGGCTGCAAGAGACACGCCTTGGCACGACTCATGGACCACCATGCGTACTCCCAGGACCAAGACTTGAGCTTTATTCCATCACCCCACAGTCTCCCCATGCTCTTGTCTATCTCTCTATTGCCAGATATATCTTGGCCAACGGAACATTTCCCCCTTCAGCACTCGTTCGTGGAGTTTGCCCCAGAAATGCCCGCCCCCGCACTCGACCATCCGTATCCAGCAATAACCCGATGCCCGTGAAGGATCCGTCCAGTCGCTTACCAGCCTTGATATTGAGCCATGCGGGAGCTACATATTCACCTGTTCTTCGGGTTTCGACGACCGTCAGTGTTATAAGCACGAGGATCCCAACTCTGCTATACGCATCCGAGGTTGTGCCGTCAACACTTTGGTCTGACAAGAGCGAGTCAACATGGCCAGCACGCAGCCCAACGACGAGACTGCTGGCGTCGCCAATAGGACTGGCGAGTTCGATACCAACGTTATCGCACCCGCTGAAGCTCCAAAGAGGTCGCCATGGAAGGCGTGGATGTACCTCTGGGAATGGTATCCTAAGCACTATCCCGAGGAGGAGAGGAAGCTACTCAGAAAGATGGATGCTTGTCTTCTGACATTCTGTTCGTTCATGTGTAAGACGCCCTACTGACACCATCACATGTATAATGTTAACGCCGCTAGTCTTCCTCAAGTGGCTCGACTCCTCCAACATCAAGAACGCCTACGTATCAGGCATGAAAGAAGAACTCAGCCTCTACGGAAACGAGTACTCGCTTTTCGATACTTTCTATAATGTCGGATATCTCGTCTTCCAAGTTCCGTCCCTACTATTGCTATCCCGACCGAAGATTGCCAAGTACTATCTGCCGACCATGGAAGTGCTGTGGTCAATCGTCACCTTCTGCCAAAGTCAGATGCGCAGCCGAAACGACATCTACGGTACCCGGTTCTTGCTTGGTCTGCTCGAGACGCCAGTGGCATCTGGCACGACTTATGTGCTTGGCTCTTGGTACAGGCCCGAAGAGGTGTTCAAACGGACAGGAGTCTGGTATGTGTCTAACAACATCGCTGTAATGTTTGGTGGCTACCTACAAGCTGCGGCGTACAAAAATCTCAACGGGTGAGTCATCTATTCATCGTTTAGTCAAAGTCGCTAATATTGTTAAGCGTTGGTGGCATGTCAGGCTGGCGTTGGCTGTTCATAATCGATGGGGTAATTTCTCTACCCATCGCCCTTGCAGGCTACCTCATCTTCCCCGGTCTACCAAGTAGCGCAAAACCATGGTGGCTCACACCCAAAGAGCATGCACTGGCTCGATCGCGCATGGCCAATGCCGGTGTTGCGCCTAGCAAAGAGCTTAGTTGGACCGTCGCAAAGCGCACATTCATGCGATGGGAGTTTTACATGGGTGTACTATGCTATACATTGTAAGCCTCAACGCATCTTACTTGTTACGATATACTAACATGTGTGTAGCTTCCTTTCGTCTTCCTACCCTCATGGTCAAATGGCTATCTGGCTTAAAGATCTTGCTGCCAAGTACCCAGGTGCATACACCGTCCCACAAATCAACACGATCCCCACTGGCGCCCAGGGCGTTTCCGTCTTCGCCGCGCTTCTCGCAACATCCCTCTGCATGGTCTACCCGCTTTGGTCCATCTTTTCTATCGTCCAAACCATCTACATCGTCGCCAACATTTCCCTCCTAATCTGGAACATACCCAAAGGCTACCATTTTGCCTGCTACTACCTACTCGGTGTCTCCGCCGCCGTCACGCCCATTCTTATGCCGTTCATCAACATGGCGCTGCGCGATGACGCTGAGGCGCGTGCTGTCACTGTCGGTGCTATGTTGACAGCTGGCTGGGCTGTCTTCTCTTTCTACCCTATCACAGTATTTCCCATTGTCGAGGGTCCAAAGTGGACCAAAGGTTACGCGGTAAATATTTGCTTCATCGTTGGATGTTGGGCTACTTTCTTGATCATGCAATATCTGTATAAGAAGAGCGAGAACAAGAAGCAAAGTATGATGGTTCGGGAAGTAGCGAAAGATCAGGAAGACTTGGCGGGTCTGGATATCAAGGAGGCATCGGAAGTCGAGCATGCAGAGGTCAGGAAGTGATGCGCAGTATCGATTATGATGTAAAGGTGGAGTTTTGACAGCAAAATACAAAAGCCATGATGCGATATATATTTAGCGGTCACCATGATACGTACCCGACAATACGTAGTGAGCTTTTTGACTCTGTACAAACTTGCATGTCATAAATGCCGAGACGAACCGCCGGCATAGGTGCGAAGGTGCCCATCAGGTATGGCAAGAAATCGGGGCGTTTCCGGACGTGATATGTAGAGATGAGAGTATGTTCAAGTCTACCGAGCTAGCTAAGATGGGATGAGCCCACTATATACCCGCCATGTACTATGCTTGGCAGTTATGCGGCGACGGAGCTTCGGAGGTCGCTTGGCCGAAAGGCAGCCTGCAAGCAACTCGATAAACACCGGTTTCCACAATCCATATCTAATTGATTGACGTCCACGTTCTCGCTATCATATGTACAAAGCCGCTAAAAACACAACATAGCTTCACCTACGAGAAAGCTGCTGCCTGGTGGTTGTTGTCTGGGCGTCACAAGTGCCCCACACTTTACCCTAAATAGTGGATAGAAGCACGACGACTGAGCTACTTCCAGATATCCCCCACATTTGTAATACAGAATCAACATGACATCCGAGTATGTCGATATACCCCGATATCTCTGTTACAAAGACGGAGATGGAGGTTTGGACGATGGTCGGAACTATGAGCTCAAAAGAGCTAATCACATACTCCACACTCGGATCCTCAGAATGCATCGAGATAAGCTTTGCAAAGGCTGTGCGCGCTTTGACTGGTTGAGAACACACTTCTACACGCGCGATGTCCATTGGATGGATGAGGGAGTTCGATGGGCGGGCGAGAAGATCCGTAACGGGGATCAGCGAATATCCGGTTTCGATTTGCGTTACCGCAATCTAGAAAACGTTCAAGATGACGTGATCTGGCCTCGTTTCGAAGTTCTAGCAGGGGCACGCCGAGAAGCAAAGTGGTTAGCGAAGGATCCTAGGTTCCGCTGGCAAGTTCGAAAGGACCAGGTCCACCAATGTCAGCTTTGCAATGTATTGTGGGATAAGGCAGAAGCAGTAGGGGAAGTCACAACGTTACACGATGGTAACGATCCGGCATTCCTCGAAATTCTGCTCATGGGCGGTCCAGTGTTCGAGGACGGGGGAGAACATCAATGCATTGACGTAAGTTCATGATAATCACATGTGTTGTGTTACCATCACTGATGAATGGGATGGCAGGCTTGGCCCGACTTTGAGACGAATGCAGGGTCTGCAACTAACGGTGTCAAGGTTTACCTATCAGGCGACGAACATGATCTAGGAGCCCCAATTTCATTTTGTATCCGCCCTTTCATGGAAGAGATGCCTTACCAACTCAACGATTTACCACATTGTTGCTTAAAGAAGCGCCGGGTGGGCACAAATGTCAATTTCGATCTCGTGATAGGATGGCTGGGGTTGTGCGATGGAACGCATGAACATACCACAAGCCCCACCTACTCCATATCGGCCCTAAAAGATCTTCGGTTCATTGATACCAAAAGTCGATGTGTCGTACAGCAAGATCAGCCCGTGCGCTATGCAGCACTCAGCTATACCTGGGGCTCGGGAGAACAGTACTGTTTGAAACGAGAGAACATAGAAGTCCTGAAAGAACCCGGTTCACTGGATCGTACCAATATAGCGATCAGAAAGGTGATCATCGATGCGATTGAGGTGTGTGTGAAGGCAGATATCCCATATTTGTGGGTAGATGCGCTCTGCATCGTCCAGGACGACGAACAGGGCAAGATATTTCAGATTCAAAACATGGACTCTGTCTACTCCAATGCCTACGTAACCATCGTTCAGGCAGCAGAAAAACGAACGAATCTTGCTGAAAACCCGTTGGATCAAAACTCAAGTATGGGTCTGTCTGGAGTGTCCACACCATTTACTCCAATCAAGCCAAGCTTTACTGTAGATGGGTTGTCGTACTTGGTCGATCACAACAACATTCAAAGAACGTTGGATGAAAACGTCTCAAGCACCAAGTGGTCTTCTCGTGGCTGGTCAGCGAAACTCCAACGCCCCAATGTATATGATGTGCTCACGCTTTTCTTCTAGGACCTTCCAAGAGCTCGTGCTTTCGCATCGAGTCCTCCTATTCCTTGCCGAAGAAGTAGTCTTCTACTGTTCAAATGGTGTGGCGTGCGAGAGTATATCCCTTGGCGACGACCTGTATAGAACGCTTCCGCCGATGAAGCAACCCAGTCTACATCAAGAGTCCAGTATTCAAATTTGCGGCTTTCTGCAAAAGTTGCCAAGGGGGGATACAACATTAATCGATCTTATAGAGCAGTATGAAGAGAACTATCTTCAGCTACTCAGCTTCTATATCGGAAGAAATTTGACTTACGATACCGATGTACTCAATGCGTTCTCTGGGGTCATCAACGTACAATCTGTTTTACTGGGTGGCTTTGAATGGGGAATGCCACTGCGTTTGTTTGCAAGAGCGTTATTCTTGTCGGTAACGCCCCAATCCGGCCCACTAAGCCGGCGGAACGGATTTCCTTCTTGGTCTTGGATCGGCTGGAAAGTCGACGTCAGCTCTTCAAGGACTGCATTAGATAGCGGCGGTTACAGAAGAGCGATGCGTCGTGGCTACTGGACGCTTGTGCAGATACATTCATGCACTGAACCTGGAAATCCTGTCCTTCTTCTGGGCCCACTGGATTTCAACAACGGCACCGAGGGATACTGTATCCGCTCTATCGAGCTTTACAACCAGCTCACATCTGCACCGCCTCTTCCTACCGAGCCTTGTGTCGAAGAAGCGCCGCTCTTCCACATCGCACTTAACGAAAGCCTGCAAACATTGCTCATGTTCTGGACTCATATTGCGCCTCTAAGATTGTCCTTAACAACTGAATACGGCGATCTCCCTGAGGTACATATCAATTGCCCTATGATCGGAGCAAGATTTAAGGAAGAAGCGAGCCTGGAACTCGAGGTAGCCCTCATCGCAATAACTCGTGGACTTTCTTATCTTGAAGAAATCAAAGTTAGGGATTGGCGGCAGCCCTGGCAATTTGGAGGCAGGGAACAGGAAGTTAGTGGCATCATTATCGAGCGCTGGCAGGGCCTAGCACGACGTGTCGGTGTCGTGCATGGTATTGATATAGAGCAGTGGGTAGCTGCGAACCCTCAGAAGGAACTTCTGGTACTCGCATAAAGGATCTGTCGCTTGTTGGACCGTCCTTGCTATTGTGTCAGCAAAGTAACAGGGAAAAGCAAGGGACATGGCGAAAACCTGACGTTAATCCTATCGCGTAGTGGAGAATGCAAAACCCACTGCCACCACTAGACTGCTAGACTATCATCATGGGAAAATTTGCATTCTCCATCTAAGATTATGCAACACGAACCGGAAATCCGATGTTTGCTCAGGATGATGTACTTCTGTCGTGTTGGCGGCATCCTCCGTAGCCAATCAGCCCAGTCGCAGCACCCAATCAGACCTACCAGTGCCTAGCCCTGTGGCTCCACTGCCCCGCATTCCGGATGCCGGATGCAAGCTAGCAACATGGCAAGACCCACTCAGCTCGCGCAGCCAGCCGTGCCTGCATGTGCGTGCCAACATCGTGAGATGCTGCTTCTTGTCTTGCGTGGCGAGTCAAGTAAGCTAATCGTTGCTAAATTTCGTGCCGTGTCTGTCGTCACGCGCTTGCTGCCAGGATTTGGCCTTGATCAGCTGCAGCGGTTTCGTATAGCTTCTCAACGAATCGAGAAGCGGGATGGCCGCGGAAGTCACGATGCTTTGGAAGGAAGCCAAGGTGAAGGAAGGGGAAGGTACGCGTATGAGCTGCAATTACATCATGCCTGCTGTGTAACGTATACATGTCAGCTTGTGAACGCCACGACTCTTACTGCAAGACACTGATTCCATTCTCCCTTTATCTGTCCTCATTTCATCTTCTATACGATTTGCATCATCGAACAAGAAAGCGACAACGACAATGGCATCTCTTCGCTTCTCAAGGATGCTGCTTCGCCGATTCGTACGCCCAGCTCCGCCTGCGTTCCGCTTTCAGCCTTTCACAGCTCCGCTCCAACGCCGAACCCTCGCATCACACCAAGATGCAACCTACCCCCAAGTTCCATATGAAAAAGCTGAGAGTGTTGGGCAAAAGAGATTCAGCCAGTTCGACCTCGACGGGAAAGTGTTCGTGGTTACAGGTGCAGCATGCCGTCCTCCTCCCTTGTGCAGAGCAAATAAAACGCTTTTGTAGCCCGTGTTAACGAATAACCAGGTGGAGGTCGTGGACTAGGACTATGCATGGCTGAAGGGCTCGTAGAAGCTGGTGGCAAGGTGTACTGCCTCGATCGGTTGCCAGAGCCTCCTCAAGCGTTCCAAGAAGCCCAGACACGGCTCAAGAGCAATCACGGTGCCAGTCTGGAGTACCATAACGTGGATGTGACGCACGAGGAGGCAATGCGGAAGTGCATCGGGGATATTGCGTCAAAGCATCAACGGCTCGATGGCCTTATTGCAGGTACGAGTCAGTCAATGCTGTTAGAAGTAACATACTGACCATTTCACCCTACAGCCGCCGGCATCCAGCAAGTAACTCCGGCTATTGAGTTCCAGAAGAAAGACATCCAAAAGATGCTAGACGTCAACTACACTGGCGTGTTCCTAGCAGCACGAGAATGCGCCCGCCAGATGATGCAATACAAGATCCAGGGATCGATCTGCCTCGTCGCAAGCATGAGCGGAACCATCGCCAATCGCGGTTTCATCGCACCTGTTTACAACTCGTCCAAGGCAGCGGTGGTACAGCTAGCACGGAACCTAGCCATGGAGTGGGGAAGGAAGAATCCAGACGGCTCAGGTGGTATCCGAGTCAATTCTTTGAGCCCCGGTCACATCGTTACACCGATGGTGCAGGCCAACTTCGACAAGGGCGAGGCAAACCGCGAGGAATGGGAGAATAACAGTATGCTGGGTCGGCTCAGCACGCCGGAAGAGTACAAGGCTGTGGGCTTGTTCATGTTGAGCAAGGCAAGCAGCTACATGACTGGGCATGATCTAAAGTTGGATGGTGGCACTACCGCCTGGTAGAAGGGCTGTCAGGCGACGTGTAGTCTACCGTACGGTGCGAGCATTCTCAGCGACAAGTCTGGCGTCAAGGTTAACGAATTATGACGAGTATGATGTATTTGTTTCTTCCAATTCTCCCTGGTATGACTTTGTGAAGATGGTGATGCTTTCTGCCCTAGCAGTGTGAAAAGTGATGATGGAGAGAGCGTACGCTACGCTCCTGCCAATGGCCGCTCAGGGTCCGCACGCGCCTTCCCCACTCAACGCTAGCTTACAATCGGACCATCTGTCCTTCCGCGCATCCCTCGCGACAGCTGTACATTTCCCAAAGCCACGCAAGAGCGCGAAACAACTCGAGCCTGCAAGCGCTGCAGCTCTACAAATACGACATACTCACCATGGACCGGTTAGCACGTCTCCTCAGCTGCGTGCTGCTCGCCCTCCTCCCCCTCACCGCAGCCCTCAAATTCGATCTCCACCCCGTAGCAGCACACGACTCCGCCAAGTATGAGCGATGCATTAGGAACTTTGTTGCGAGGGAACAATTGGTTGTTGTCACGGTGATCATGGACGGATATCGGGGGGATGGACAGAGGGTGGATATGCATGTACGTTGCAACGACTAGAATCAGCAACAATGCTCGCATGCGAGCAATGCGGACATGAGAAGGATGTATGCTGACAATGTCCAATTAGATCCGCGACGCAATGGGCAACGACTACCACCGTCCCAAAGACGTCGTAGGTGAGAACCGCTACGCCTTCACCTCGCACGCCGACTCCGCCTTTGACGTCTGCTTCGAAAACATCTTCACCTCGTCCGGCTCCTCCAAGTCCATCACCCCGCGCCACGTCGAGCTCGACATTGACATTGGCGCCGATGCCAAGGACTGGAATGCCATTGGAGCCGCCGACAAGCTGAAGCCCGTTGAGGCGGAGCTCAGGAGGATCGAGGAGGTTGTTGGAGAGATTGTCACGGAGATGGATTACTTGAGGAGTCGCGAGCAGAAGCTTAGGGATACCAATGAGAGCACTAATGAGAGAGTCAAGTGGTTTGCGTTGGGTACCATGGGTATGCTTGTTGGGCTTGGGGCTTGGCAGGTTGTGTACCTTCGTGCCTACTTCAGGAGCAAGCATCTCATCTAGAGTATTGCGCAGTGGCTTTGGACGGTTCGGAGGGCTGAGAGCGTTTTGGTTAAAAGAGAGATTTTGGCGACCCGGTGTGTATGGATGGGTACGATACGAGCATGGAAGCTTTATGGACTGCATACTTCAAACACGACTGGAGCGGCGTTGGTAGGACATATCCAGATTTCAAACTTGTTCACAATAGCTCACGTCTTCTCTGCCTCTAATGGCTCTCGACTGACAATGTATTGACGTCTAGTCGTCGGCTTATACATTGCTATAGGTACAGCTAGCCCGCATACACTACAGATATACACATCGCGAAAGAAAAGACACGCCCAAAATAGCCTGTCTATCTCTGCTTGGTAGCCTCGACCTCCAACTCGATCAGCATCTGCGGAAACGCCAAATGCGGCACCGCAACCGCCGTCCAACATGGCCGATGCCCCGGGATCCTCTCCTTGAGCGCCTTGACTAGCGGATCCCAACTTGATCGGATATCAGTGTGGTAGCTCCTCAGATGGTACACATCTTCCCAGCCACGTAGCCCCGCGGCTTTCAACACTAGGTCCACGTTCTTCATTGCGATGGCTATTTGCTCGTCGCTGTTGTTGGCGTCGAGGGCGCCCGTGATGGAGTCCCAGCCGCCTTGGCCCGAACACTTAACGATACCGTTGGGCAGAGCGACGGCCATTGAGAAGTGGCTTTCGTCTGAGAACCTTTGAGAGGTACCGGGAGGGTTGGTGTAGGTTAGGGAGGACATGATTGGGTTGGATAAGGTGGATGGTTGAACTGGAGTGTGTCAGGAGATTCTTGCTACTTGCGAATTGGGAGCAAGGTACCTACTTGGTTTAATGAACGAGCAGACCGAGGTATGTATGTAACGGTGTGATGTCGACGTTCAAAAAAAAAAGATCAAAGTGTTTGTCCAGGTGGTGTGGAGAACAGTTATCCTGCGATCGAGCAACCAGAGCGACGCCTTCTTTTATGTTGCTTAGTTTGAGATCGAGGTCGATGGTATTTAGTCTCACTAGGTGACTAATCCGTCCCTTAGTCTTCGTGCCATCGGATTATATCTATCGGTGATGCAGAATGCTCGTCGTTGGAGAAGTCGGCCCGACACGTTGGAGATAGACACCGTGAGAGATGCTAGGATTCTGCGGTGCCGATCCAGATTTATTCTGCATTTCCTGGTATCGCATGACCATTTCTGGGAAGCTATGATGTCCACTTGGTCTACTCCATCATAGCATCTTCTTCGGTGCCCATAGACCGTGCGTATTGGCCGAGAGCCTGCCCAAGCGTACGTGCAAACGGCTTCTCACTCAAACTTACCAGCACATGGCTCCAGTATAGCAAGACAGAATTTGCGAGTACCTCCATGTTCGTAAAATCCGGCTGGCCATCCGAAACATCCAAAGAGGACCACGCCATCGATAAAGCTCCCCTGAGGTCCTCGATGATGACCCGACAGGCTTGATTGCCACTGCTTTCGACTGCCGCTTTCTTGATCCATGCACATAGAAACAGAGCAGATTCGAAGATCAAGAGTACATTCCACAGTGTCCAAGTATTAGCGTGGTAGCGAAGGAAGAATGCGAAGCCGGTATTTGCAGGATCCTCGAAAAGATGGACCGAGGCGCCCACGTCACACAAGAGTACATCGTCGCTCAGTGATTCCGGGAAAACATGTTGCTGATCATGAAGGTATAGTAGCATCTCTGCCGCCTCCTCAGTCTTGTACATAGCCGAATCTATCACCAACCAACGTCTGATACTTTCAAGATGCACAAGACTTTCCGTCTTTTGTCTTTGAAGTTGAAACCTATTGGTTTCTGTCATCGAAGCGGATCTTACACGAGCTCCGATGAGCGCTATAGCATCTCTGATCGTTCGGGTGAGTAAGTGCGGCGCAAACAAACTGTGTCTCGGGGAAGCCACTCACTTGTATCTTGCTTCTTTCTTCGATATTTCATGAGCCCTAAAAAGCGCTCTCGCTTCCCTGCTCACACAGAGGTGATGGGTGAGGAATGCGAGTATCACAAAAACTTGAAATATGTCTAGACTGCTGAGCATTGTAGCACGTCCGTCGTACGGTATCCCTAGTAATTGGTCGATGAATTCCAAGATGTGTTCACCTTGCAAAGGTCGGGACGTGTTGTTCCGGTCAAGATCTGCGTGTTGCAACGTCTCCCAGCTATCCGCTAAACATGGAAATCGGAAACCAATGTTAGTAGGCCATGCCATGATAGAGGAATTAAAAACAAAACTGTGTATCGCTATGGCACATGTACCGAAGGCTTGGCTCCTTCTCTCCGACTCCTCGATCAGCCATTGTGAATATGATGTCGACGGTGATGATTCGACATTCTTGGCACCGACTTCAAGACATAGCTGAAGTGCATAGTGAAATCGGCGAAGCTCTTCCATGGTGTTTGCAGATAACTCGATCGTGATGAAATCGATAAGTAGCACAAACGCGCTTGTCAGCTGCCAGGATAAACTAAGAATGGGTTAGCACGAGTCTTCGATGCCGCTCTGGAAAATTTCAAACATGCCGTTCAGGTGATTCCGTTGTCCACGTGTGTAGAGCTGCGCTTTTACTTGCTGAGAACAGTGCTCTTGCGCTTTTGTACTCGAGAAGATGTAAAGCTCCCAATGCAAACATAGCAGTGCGCAAGGCGAATTCCATGCTTGTGAGTTCCATGGTGGGATGAATCAAGGCTGAATTGGTGTGGAAGTGGAAGGATTGTCGATATCGTTGGCAAGCTTGAGTAGACGGTGGTACAAACTTTGGCTCTCTCTCCTGGTACTCCTGCCACATACTGTCTGTCGTATTGGACGAGATGGCCAATGAGCCACTCGGATTAGTGTTAGAATGCGTTGACAGTGGTCCAGTCCTTGTCAGCGGGGTGATAGAGTTGGAATCTTCGGGTGTATTGTCAAGACGTTCGTTGTTTGATTCATGCCGATCAGCCATATCTTGGAGACTGCTTTGGGAAAGGAAAGTCTCGAATTGCCTCAAACCCCTTTCTTGTGCTGGTGGGGAGGGTAAGGACGTGCCTGAAGCGTCAGGTAAGCATTCGATGTTATAGCTTGAATACACTAACCAAGGTGGTGATACTCAGGAGGAAGCGGCAATGCTTCGCTTGGAGGTATGGCAGCACCACTCTGGCCAGCTTCATCCGATGCCGCATGAGCAAGTCGCCTGTGACGTTTGAGCAGGTCTTTTCTAGCAAACGACAGCCCACAATCACAGTGATACGGCTTTTCTTTGGTATCTACCAGGTTATATCAGCCATATATCAGCCTTTGCTCCGGATGATGTTGTATGCTCTCAGCCATAACATTGATACACCAAGACATTTGAAAAATGTTCACATACGCGTTCGAGTATGTCGTTGTAAATGTTCGAGCTTGCGAAATTGCCGATCACACGTTGCGCATGGGAATGTTTTCGTGGTTGCATCTGCCATCATTGCCGAGTATGTTGTTGGAGAATTGGAGAAAAGTGACGGTTGCCCCTTTTTAGTGAGATGTTAGCTGACCCCACTTTTAAAACACCGAGATTCTCCAACAAGAAGCCGCAATGTTAATCACCGTTGCTGAGGTGAAGTCCGCCTCTCAACATCCATTTCCTTCAGATTGTGATGAATCGATTGCGACATGTCGCACGCTCAGAAGAAGCCTGCACCTGTCAAGCTAGCGTGCAGCTCATGGTACGTCATGATCCTGGCTAAGGAATTTAGGGACCCGGGAAAACAAGTCGCGTTGTGTCTACCTACGATGAACATCATCCACATACTATGTACCGACTTTGCTGATGCTGTAGCAGCAGGGCGTCGCGAGTAAAGTGTAGTGGTACCAATCCTTGCAGCCGTGTAAATTGACACATCAGTCCGCCACCCTGCACGGTCTACTAACATATCTGTTGGCAGTGCCTACGTAAGAACGCAATATGCGTGTATTCACCCAGTCGACGAGGCCGGAAGGCTAAACCGAGAGTTGGAGATGTTTCCAAGCCTGTGAACTCATCGACGAATGCTCTGGGCTCATGTGGCGCGTCTAATCCCAGCATGTTCGATTGTCGAACGTCTGACAACACAGATTCGGAGTATCCCCAAGAGACGTATTATGGCGGTTTACTTCCCCCACTATTTAGTGGAGATCTGGATTCCTTCCAGTTCGAGGGAATGTTCGGCGGTAGTACGGATGCAGAATTGGATAGCTTCTTCACTGAGATGTTCAGAATACCGTCATTTCCACGAGTCGGCTCCTTCGACCCTGCAGGTCCGATACTGGAAGAGTCTCAGCCTATCTATAAACAGCGGTATCACTCCGACGCCCAGGTCCTCGAATCTTATTACAAGCACATACATCCTGTTTTCCCGATCCTGCCTCCGCCGACGGAGGAACCGAGGATTGACTCTTTGGAAGAGGACGCCAGCAGTAATGGCTCATTTCTTTCGCAAACTTCGTCACCTTTGATCCTAGCTCTATCTTCAGTTCTGTATTTGTCAGATGCATTGAAACCTCCAAGTGTCGTCAACGATGGAAACCTTGTCCAAAATCTATACCAGCGGGCGGCAGACTTGGTTGAGCGGTTCTCCCTTTCGTCTCCCCTCTCTCAAGATACAGTCCTCCCATCGGCATTCCATGCGCATGTACCTCAGCAATTGGAAGTGCCACTGGCATGCTGTGTTCTTAGCTTGTACCAGTATCTTCGCTGGGGCAATATTGAAGAGATGACGCGTTTGGCACAAAAAGCTCATAGCATAATCAAGGCTATGTCTGTAAGTTGGGAGCATGTTGGCGTATTTGCAGAAGCTCAGCGGAGAGCATGGTGGATGAGTGTGATGTGTGTATATAACGCCAATATCGTTAGCTGTACGGTACGGTATCCACCAAGACACCGTGTACACCGATCTTCACCAAAGCTGACTATGTTGTAGTCACCGGTAAACCAGGTTGACGTCCATACCGTCAATATACCGCATCCTACCACCCTGGGTAACTCGGAGATGTGGACCCAATACGTCTCCGCCGAAGAAACTCTCGTTGCTGCCACTCTCCTTCTAGTAGCATTGGTCAAAGGCAGCGACTCTGAGACCGAGGTGCCAGCTTTCAACCGAAATATTCGTCTACTAGACAAAGTCATCGTCCAACAGCTGGCTGCAATACCCGACGCCCCGTCAACAAGTCATGACATCTCGTACCGCACAGAAGAAAGACTCGCCATATCCCTACGCGCCATAGCAAAGATACGACTACACAGGTGAATGAGGTTGAGCAGATCCTTCTGTGACACAGCCGCTAATCCAAACACAGTGCACGCATAAAACTACACAGATATCGCGCCTTCATGCACCACCCCACTATCCTCCAGAAGTTTTCGCCAACCACAACGACTCGAGGCCATCACCATCGCGTCATTAACACGGAACACACCAGCAACGGTAATACACAGCATGGCCATCGCGAAACACGTCCAACCACCCAAATCTTCCCCTTCTCGACCCACCACGCACTAACCACATGCCTCGAGTCGGCCACCACAATCACAACCTCACTATCCCACCTCCTCTCCCTAGGCACGCGTGCGGCTCCACAGATCTGCTCAGCAGCCTTGGCGAGCTACACACTGATGATGATATTCCACTTTGAACACCAACTACCACAGCCCCAATCGCAGTCCCGGTTGCATCCATCCTCGCAGTTACGGCCGCGATTAGCGACACGGATGATCAGTCCTTCTGGCGTAATGCAGGGCTCTATACAAGCACAATGCGAGGAAAGCGCCGGTACGGCAATCGAGGTGCTGGAGAGTTTTGCAGGGGATTTCGAATTCATTGGCGGACTAAGAGGTCAGATCAACAAGGCTACTCATGCGACGTTTTGCTCCCGTCCGTCCTAGTGCTGGATGGCTGGCAGAGTGAGCACGATAAAGCGACAGGATAAGAAAGGATAGTAACTCAAAAAAAGACAGATGATGATCAGAAGGGAGAAGACGAGACAAGGGAGATTTTGTCAACAAGAATGATAAAAAAAAAGACTACTCAAACTTTTTCCCGACTCTAGCTAGACTCCCCGGGTAACTCTAAAAGTATAAGAATGGAGATTGGTTTTCGTTACAACATGCAGCTACTCTCTTTGAGCGGGATGTGATAAGAGGTTGCTAAGAACCCTCAATCTTACCCCTAAAACGCCGCCCAATGCAAATGACCATGTCCGTCATCCCTCATTCTTCCAAGCTCGTGTGGGGTATACAGGTATATAGTACAAGAAAGGGAAAGAAAAAGGGCGGCTAGAAGACGTCAGACTCCTGTGAGAAAAACCTAAAAGGGTGAAGCTGGCTCCCTCCTTGGTCGGTCACCACCAAACCCGCCTCCTCCTCTCCTGTCACCGCCCCTGTCACCACCGAAGCCACCGCCGCCTCTCCGGTCACCCCCAAAACCACCACTTCCTCTCCTGTCGCCGCCGAAGCCGCCACGGTCACCACCTCGGTTGCCACCGAATCCTCCGCTTCGGCCACTACGTTCAGCACCGTACGAACTACGGTCGTATCCGCCACCGCCTCTCCTGTCACCGCCCCTGTCACCACCGAAGCCACCTCCAAATCCGCCACGACCACCGCTTCGGCCGCCGCCGCCACGTCCACGGCCTCCCATGTGGAGGCTAGCAGGCGGTGGTGGTGGCGAAGGCATACCCCAACCAAACTCTGCTAGACGGTTCGCACCTTCCAGCAGACCCTGCTTGTCACCGTACCACTGAAAGCTTCCAAAGAGGCCACGGAATGCGGCGTCAAGTTGGTCAGGGTAGACCTTCTTGTGTGCCTCGACAGTGTCAGATAGAATCTTCGCAACGTCCTCGGGCATCTCAGCTGCTTGTGTCATATCAATCGTCGCAGTCTCGAGCGTGTGGGTTCCATCTTGGAGGGGAAGGTTGTTGAGACGACGGCGGACCTCGTTCCTCTCGAAAGGCGTTAGGAAGAGCCAGCCCTCACCTTCCTTTCCGGCACGGCCTGTGCGACCGAGACGGTGAATGTAGGAGTCGCGTTCACGAGGAAGACCAATTTGGATGACGTGAGTAACCTCGGGGAAGTCCATGCCACGAGCTGTTACATCAGAGGAGAAGAGAATGCCGGACTTGGCGAAGCGGAAGTCATCTGCTGCCCTCGTACGTTGCGCTTGGGTGAGCTTGGCGTGGATCTCATAGGCGCGGAGGCCGGACAGAGGGGTGTTGCGCTTGAAACCGCCACCGAGCTTGTAGAAAACCGATGCTGCCAATGTGACTTCAGCGGTGCTGTTGAAGTAGACAATGGCCTTGAATGGCCGGCTGTCGCCAGATTGGGCTTTCTGTTGCTCCTGCAGAACGAGCTCGTACAGTGCAGGCATGATGTTCTCGAAACCGGCGAGGTTAACGTATTTTTGCGGGATACGCTGGTGCGTTGGTTCTTCATTCTCATCCACACACTTTGCGAAGTGGAAGCCGGGTCGCATGGTCGCGCGGACAAGGCCGACAACCTCGCGGGGAATAGTAGCAGAGAACATGAGGTTTTGGCGTTCGACTTCAGCTGGATCGGGCAGGAAGTTCTTGATCTCGTCAATCTCCTTGGAGAACCCGTCATCCATCAGGCGGTCGGCCTCGTCCATGACCAGTGCATTCAATTTGGGGGCCTTGACGCCAGAGTATGGATCTGAAAGAATGTCGAAAAGTCGTCCGGGAGTCGCAATCATCAGGTGGCATCCTTCACGCTGTGTCTTCTGAAGCATAGCCCTCTTCTGAGTGCCACCGACTGCAACTTGTGTGACAATGCCGGTACCGGAAGTTACCTTCTTAGCCTCGACAGCGATCTGCTCTGCAAGTTCTCGGGTAGGTGAGATGACAATGGCCCGAATGTCATCGGGTCTTGCACGCTTGTATCCTCTGGGCTTCTCGCCGAGCTCGGGGGCGTTTGCAATGATTCGTTGGATGACGGGGACGAGGAAACCGAGCGTTTTACCGGTACCGGTCTTTGCTTGTGCGATGCTGTAATGTGTTAGTATATGGTAAGACGGGGGTCGGCAAAGAGTCTTACATGTCAACCCCGCTCAGGGCTTCGTTGATGGTCCTGGTCTGCACGTCCGTCATGGTCGTGAGCTTCATCTGGTTCGTGATAGTTCTGATGAGGTTGGGATGAACGAGTCCGCGTGTGGCCAATTCCTTGAACTCTGTGACGGGGCCATCCTCCTCGATGCTCTGTTGTGCCTCTTGAGCCTCTTGTTGCCACCTTGTGGCGCTGTTGTGGAAGCCGGCGAACGAGACATTCTGAAGGCGCGCTGATTGCAGTGGTATCCTCAGGACGCTCGAGTTGTGGGTGAGGGGCGTGCGGAGAGTCCTAGTAGAGACTGAGGCAAGATTCCTTGCGAGCGTCGCGGGACATCTTCTCACTGCGCCGAACATGATGTGCGGGCAATATTATACACTTGCTCGTGACAGAGGGTACCTGTAACGATTAGAATGAGCAAGAGAGATTATATCCCGAGTACGCCTGAAAGAAGACGGCGGGCTGGAGAAAAAAAATGGCGTGTATTCGTCTGAGATGTTACCGCTAGAAACTTTGCCATGCAGCACTTTTCCAGGGGACGTGCACCCACAACGCGCGCTAGGAAGTCCGCCCGATAACGATAAGCGGCGTTCGTTGTCACGTGAAAGGGTCCAACCCCAATTAGACATTGGTAATGCAGAGTTACTCGTTCACAGCATAGCTGTGGTTTGAGAGTACTCTGCGTACAGATAAAGCATGGATTCAGGATGTTGTGAGTAGCCATCGATGTTCCCAGGGTCATATTGCAATACTAGTCCGGGCAGTACAGCGGGAGGATTCAATGCGTATCATTAATTCGTAAATTATCCAAACATGCCAGTTCCAAACACCTTGTCCGATGCACCATGACCTTCCCAATGCTTCACTCAATGCAGTGTAAATTCTCAATTACCCCTCTCCTCCCTCTCTTCCACCCTCACAACCCTGAGCCCCTCAGCAAGTCCCTCCTGCACACCCCCAGTGATGCCCCTGACCCACCAAACAGCCACCTCGTTAATCACCTGACCAACCATACCATCGTTCATTTGGCATACCGTCTGGCTTAGCCTCAGTGTCTTCCGCCCAATGTCATCGACGGTCGCAACGCTCGTATTGACCAGCCGTTTTGTGATCTGGTGTTTCCGCTCGAACTGGTAGGTATGCGAGAGGAATAACTTGATATATGGCAGCAGGAACTGCATAAGGATGAAGGATTGCAAGACGAGGGTCGCAGTCAGCCGGTGCAGAATCGTGGGGTCGCGAGGTGGTGCACGGTGGGTGGCTGCAGTATGTTGGGAGACGGCGAGTAAGGCGTGCGTGTCTGCGGTAAGCCTTGTCTCCACGAGGTCTTGTGGAAGGGCGGCCTGGATGCTCGATGTCTCTTCTGGTGTAAGCTTCGATGGCAGCCCTCGCAGTAGATATGTTACGCCATGCACGTAGAGTTGGCGGGTGAGCGTCGCGGATGTTTCGTCAGAGGTACTAATGAATTCGCTGGATTCTCGGGATGCTTGAGCCATGAGGCTTGTTCCTATGAACTGTGAGCATGCAACGCCGACATTAACGAGCCACATTCTGTACCTAAGGAAGCATAACTCCACCTAATCCCAGTGCTCGTCTCTTGAGCGCGATATAGTTGTGGCAGTGCGCTTCCTGAAGACCCTGGCCTATCCTCCGCGTCGTCCACGAAAGCAGCATCTGCTTCACCCAGCGCAACAGAGAGTCTATGTGGTGTGATAGAGCCGCTTGGTGGTATCGACGAGTAGCCTGGCGGAGGCGTCTCGGGTTGTGGCAGTTCATCGACAGAGGCTGACTTGCTGTGTGAGCCACGATTTCGTACATCGTTGAGAGATTGTCGGAGTGAAGGTATCGTCGGAAGGTGGTTCGATACAACAGTAGGGAGCACGCTGTAAAGCATACTAGGCCGGTAGCTCGTCTCCTCCCCTTCCATTATCGCCGCTGTATCGAAAGTCGACGTAGGCATCTCAGCGCGTTCGACCAGCAGCATATTTTCGGCTTATCTTCCGGGCGTAATCTAGATAAGTTATAATCCTTCGCAGCCTCACCCAAAGTTCCCCTCAAAAGAATGCGAAAAGCAATCGGCCAAATGGTAACACGGCAAGAAAAGATGCAAAGCCGAGAAAAATGTCATGGGAGATAAGCTTGGGGCTCTGCATGTGACGCCCGCCGCACTGCGGCTATCCTCGTTTTGCTGAGACGGCATTATTCCGAATCCGTGCGGTTTTTCGAGGGAGTCGTGAGTTGCAAGCATGTGAAAGTGTTGAGTCGAGCACACCACGCATGTGCAGCGCCGTTGCGCCAGGGTCGGGCAGATAGCCGAGCGCCGAACGCCAATCAGCTGGGGCGCGGAACAACGTGTGGGAACCTTCTGATGTCCTTGCATTTGTCTTAAGACACGCCAACCTGCTATCGTGATCTAGTCTACTAATCGCTTCAAAATTCCCGCTGGAAGCACATGTGATCGAGATGCTTTGGAGATGCACCACAGCTCACCAAGCGAACCGTGTCGAAGACTCAGTTGCCCAGGTTGCCCACCGTGCATCAACCCTATCACCACCTCCTTGTTCCTCTCTCGCCGCCACCTCCTCATCGTCAGTCTCCCAAGCTAAATCACCCTGAAAATCTCTTTCACTTTCATCTGTCACGAACAATGGACTCTCCGACTTCTCCGTCTTGAACCGTCCACGCTTTCCTCCTTGATCGTCCTTCCGCCGAGACCGTTGCGGCCTAGAGTCAAGGACAAAGTCAGTTTTCTAGTTACCACCTGCAGGCGAGACTTTTTTTACCATCCTCAACATCATACTCGCTCCCCCTAGGACCTTCTTCCATCTCCTCACCAGCTGGTATCTCCTCATGGCGTGTCATACGCTGCATAAACGGGACCTTTTCAGTATCCCTAATCACATCCAGAACCCGCTCGCAGTACTTCTTCAACCTCTCTTCATCGTCCCACATCCTCCTCGCAGTGCCCTCATCCATGTCACCCCCGTTTGCAACCAATTCTTTCCAGTATTTTAAGTCACGCACGTCGCGATGTAGATATCTCCCAACATGCTTGATATCGTCGATATCCTCGTTCGACCAGCGGGTACCGCCATTAGAGTCGCGAGCGTAATTTATGACGAGGTCGTAGGCGCGCGTTGTGCGGTAGATAAGGGGGTGTAGGTGAGAGTCTTGTTGGTGATGTTGGGATGAAGTTATATTTGAGGCGGTGTGACGGCGGGGGTTGATAGGAATGCGGTTCACCTCTGCGTTGTAATTGGGTTGATTAGCTGTTGGTGTCTGTGGCAGTACGTCACCGTACGATGGGCGGTAGACGCTGGCACGAGGAACATAGGGATAGGCCATTGTTGAAATTTTGTTCGAGGCTGAGGTGGGAAGCAAAACAGAGAGTTCAGGTTGCTGGTGGAAAAGGTTCTTTATTTCATGTCTGCGTTTGTTTCTAGTGAAAGTGAAAGGTGAGGCCATACTGTCTGCACGTATGGATCGTTGCCTGATTAGGAATTTGGAGAGATTGTCGATGATTCGGCGGGCCATGCGACGGTCTCAATACGCATTTGAAAATGTTCAGTTATTACAAGACAGGGAACACATGCCTCCTCTCTGTACCAGACCGAGTAAGACAGAGTCCGTGTACCAGCCACATACCCGGCGTTAGTCTGAGTTCGACTGCCTTGCAGCCTCATCACGTACCCTCACACATTATCAACCTCTCGCCGTCTGTGTACCATCCATCTCCACCGGCGGCCCAGGAAATGCTCTTACAGCTCTCGATTCCTCATCCACCTCCACCGGCCCCGTAGTCCCATCCGTCTCCACCAGCCCCGTAGTCCCGTCCGTCTCAGCTCTCCAATTTCCGCCAGTAAAGCTCTTAAATTCTCCTGGACTACCCTCCATCTCCGGTTCATTCCGATGCTGGAGGCGTTGTCTTTGCTGCTTGCGTCTTCTCAAGATATACAGGAGGAAGACGATACCGATTATGACGAACGCGCCTACACCAACGGCTATACCAGCTATCGCGCCAGGACTCAAGGCGGAGTTCTCTTTATCTGAATTTGTATTTGGAGGTGGGAATATTGGAGGAGTATCGTTTGACGAGATACTAGCTGTAGTTCCGAAGGAGATGTTGAGTAACGATGCGAGGCCCGACGCGTACAAGCTAGGGAAGCTCGATAGGTCGGTCGATTCCCACCACACGGCAAATGGAGGCGCAATCATGGTACCAGATGTCATTTCCGTCGTTCGCTTCAGAGTCGTGGAATTCGGGCAAACCGCACTACCATCTGACTCTACACACAATCTTTCCACGACATCAATGGCGGATATTGTAACAATCGTGTTGTTCTGGTTCAGCAAGGTAGTCGTAAAATTTGTGAGCGCTGTCACTGGGCTGGTAATACTCTGTTCACAGCGGTTCTTGCCGGAAACGAGTGTCATGGGACTATGGAGATACGTAAGTAGGAGCAAAGTTGAAAAGCGTTTCGTTGTGAGCACTAACTAATCACAACAAATTCCCATCCATAAACGTGAAGTCTGATAATGGAACTCTCTTATAGCGAGCATAGTTTGATCAGCTGTACACAACCCGGGACTATATGCTATTGGCTCTGCTTGGCGCAATGGATGGCAGCTGGCATAGTAGTTTGGTGACAGAAGGCTACCATAATATTCGCGGCGATCTGTAGCTGTGGAATAGTATATGAAGCCACTGATGACTTCGTTAGAGGTAAGAGGATTTTGTATCCATTTAGATGAACAAATAGATGATGGTTGGGTGAAGATTGTAGGCAGTGCAGGAGCGCCGACTGGATGCCACACGCTCCAAGTGGCCGAGTCGTCAGCAGTCAATGTTTCAATCAGGGCCATATCTGACAATGTAGACAGAAGAGTCGCGAGGACACAATTGAATAGATAAGAAAAAGTTAAATGGTTGTCTTCAAGGCGAGAGCTCGATCAATAGCTTTTGAAGCAGATACCAGCTTACCGGCTAAATTCAAATGCAGTAACACACCCTGGTGCAGTGTCATAGTCGACTGACTGGGGGGCTTCCAAGGCATTTTCGATAAATCTGATCGAACCGATTGCGATGACGATTCTGATGGGGGGACCTCGCGCGATGGGGTCGGTATTGCCTCGTGCCGTGCCGCAAGGCTGAACCCTACATCACCTTACTGAATGTTATCTAGTGTACAAATATAGTGCTTACCTCAGAAATGTGACATGCCACAAACGACTTAGCTTTTCTGGCATCTATGGGTTTCGATTGGACTTTGGATGTCATGACAAGCGCCCGGCGTTGGGTTATTGCATAACCGAACTATGGCAGCTAGAGGTATGGTAAGACGGACTAGAGCAGTCAGGGCAGGACGAAAGGGAAAATACGTCATTTAGAAAGCACAATAAGGTATTCTCAGGTGAATACTGGCCTACTAAAGCCATCATGAGTCGCTCACTCGATAAGAATCACAGAGGATACGCATCCAATGAAGCCCATCGGGCGACACAGAGCGATGCTTCTGTGGCTCTTCAATGTACCTATATCTCACTAGTGTTTTGGTCCGGAGAAGGAGTATCAGTGATCTGCTCCTTAAAATTTCCATTCTGGCTTTCACAAGCCCGGTGTCTCTTCGAAAAGCTTGCGAGGTTATCGAGCTGACCTTGATTCACCCCAACCGTTCACAGCTTTATCGCGCATCCACGCGAATCATTGAGTCCTCTCTGCCGGTGTAGTATCCAACTCCACAGGCGGTCCTGGAATGATCCTCACGCTTGTCGATCCAGCTTCAACCGGCTGCGATGTTCCGTCTTGCTCAGCTCTCCATCTCCCACCCAGGAAGTGCTTCAATCCTCTTGAACTCCCTTCCATCTCCCACATGTCTGAATGCTGAAGACGCTGTTGCTGCTTCTGTTTCATCCTTCGCCGGAGATACAGGAGCAGTACGATACTGAATATGAGGAACGCGCTAATACCGACGGCTATGCCAGCTATGGCGCCGGGACTCATAGCAGCGTCGGGGTCTTCGTTGTTTGGGTTCGTGAAGGGAGGTACAAAATTTGTACTAGTCGTGCTTGGTGAGGTAGTGACTGGGTCCTCGAAGGGAACTTTGATCGCTGCTGCGAGAGACGATGCATACTCACTAGGAAATCTGCTAAAGTCGCTTGACTGCCAATCAACCACAAATTGTGCTGCAAATGCCGTGCCACTTGTCACTTCGGTCAATCGACGCAGAGTGGTGTCCGCGCAATCATTCTCATCCCCGGTTCCTGTACAGGCATACGTTGTGAGGTCAACGGCAGAGGCCGTGACAGTCGTGCTCCCGCGGGTCCATGTGGTTGTAAGGTTGGCGAGAACTGTCATATGGGTTTAAAAGGCCTTTGTACAAACGCCATTCACGAGTGATATTGTCATATCGCTGAGGAATATGTAAGTAAGGGTGTAGATGAGGGAGTATGAATAGTGAGCAACAACCTGTTACAACAAGAGCCCATCCAATATGTGGAGCCCAAGTATCGTCTCTCGACTACAGCGGCCATCGTCTGACCACTTGTACATATACCGGGGCTATATCCTAATGTCATCGGATGTTTGCTGGGACGGCAGCGGGCGAAGTAGTCTGTTGGCAAAAAGGGGTCATCATAATTGATCCTAAAGTCCGATGCCGCGCTCGATCCTGGGACATAGAAATCGTGGGCTCCGCTTCTAACCTCATTGGTAGCCAGTAGATTCTGTATCCATTCAGTTGAGCAACCTGTCGGGGGCTCAAACAAGGTTGTGAGCGGAGGGAATAATGTGGAATCCGCCGGCAACCATTCGTTCCAAAAAGTCCCGTTCGTAAATTCCGTGTAAGAGAATATGACGGCCATGTTTTCAACTGGAAACAAAGCGTTGGGAGAACAAACAGGAAAGAGTTCGAGCAAACAAAAACAAGATATGAGATGGAAGGCTTATACGCAGTAAGAAAACGATACTAACAGCCTTGGGGGCGACTCCAGTGATCCTCCAAGCTGACCGATTGGTGGAATTCTTGGCAGCCTTTGCGGCGCAGTGTAACTCAGCGGAACTACCAAGGCTTCTATAGCAGAACAAATTCATTAGATGGTTGCGGTGTTGAGGGATCTACGCTCGCGATTACATCCCCATAATCGCTAGCCATATCGTGGGGTCGGCGCCCGCCTTCCGGGAAGTTCGAGCCGATATCAGTAATTGGCTGTGGTTCGCAGCCAACTTATCATAAGCAAAATAAGTGCTCAAAGCAAGGTAGGGCGACATACCGTTCAATGCAGGTATGTCTCGTGAACACCTTGTCTACGCTGCATGTAAATGCGGATATCGTTACGACTTTCTCTTGTCAAGACCGTGGCGGTATGTCAATGATAAATACTAGCGTATTGTTATGATGTCGTACGATCATTTTAGCTTTCACCCTGGATATGGGTGTCGATTGGGTCGTTCGAGTCATGAGTGGTGCGTGGCTCTAAATTCCTAAAATACAACAGTATGGCGATCAAAAGCATGACGAGATGAGCTGAGGTTGCCCAAGCAAAGAGGAAAAGAGATGGCGAGATATCTCTTGACAGGAATATCTAGAAGAATACCGAATCACAATATGCATAGAAAGTGAAGACGGAAAATGTGTATTCAAGTCGGTCTCAGCCTTCTCTAGCCCACAACTCTCATCCATCCCACCTACGTCCTAATCCACGTACGTCTAGTTAGGCGCACCAGTACCCCTCGGCCTGTGCGACACAGCACGGTGCTTCTGTGGCTCATCCTTGTACTTCTGAACAATCCTCGCAATAGAATCCAACCCCTTCTCTAACACATCCATCCTCGGTCCATAACTCAACCTAACAAAGTGATGACAAGGCGAGTCAAACAGATCCCTACGCCTACTCGGGTTTAAGTCGAAAAAGATACCCGGCACAACGATGACCTTTTCCTCGAGACAAGCCTGGAAGAAGTTCAATCCATCGTTGATGCCCTCGGGCAGATTGCTCAAATCGAGCCACAGGTAAAACGTCGAGTTGGGCATGTAAGGAAACTTGAAGCCGATTTCCTGGAGACGGCCAATGACGTAGTCGCGCTTGGTCCGGAAGTGCATTTGCAGCGCGCGCATCTCGTTGCGAACGCGGGGTGGAGACAGCATTTCTACGGCAGCTTCTTGGAAGGGCACGTTGCAGCCACCGTCGAGGTAGGAACCGCAGGAGCCGATGGCCTGGATGAATTCCTTGGGGCCAATGACCCATGCTACACGCCATCCGGGGAGACGGAAGCGCTTGGTTAGACCGTCGATGATGAGCACGTCGTCCTCGTCGACGTCTTCGACGTTGTCTGCGGCGGAAATGACGGTGCCGTCGCAGTTGGTGGTGTAGTTGTAGCCGCAGTAGAATTCGTCCATGATGAGGGTTGCGCGGTCGCGGCAGATGTTCTGGATCTGTGCGAGTTCGGGGTTGGTGACCTAATTGACGTACAAAATCAGTATCTGTCCCGCATGCAATTCGTGCAGAATTAATTCTTACCATCTGACCTGTGGGATTACGCGGGTTCGATGTAAGAATAACAGATGTACCGCGGGCGATTTCCTCGGCAATCTTGTCAGGTGACATGTGGTATTGGTCTGCTTCGCCTAGCGGAACGGGAATGGCAGCGATGTTACGGAAAAGCGACAACATCTCGTTGTATGCAGTGTAATCTAGTTGATCAGCTTTTGCTCGAATCCGGAGGCTCAGAGCCCAGACATACCAGGAATGAAGAAGCCCAAGTAGCAATTGCCCAGCACAGCAGCGATACGGATCAAACCCGCACGTCCACCAGGCACAATGCACACATTCTCCCATGTGTATTGGCTCTTGCGCCACTTGCGGTGGTGCTCGTTGTATAGTGTGGCGACCGCCTCTCTCAGCGGCCTGATACCAGCAGTCGGACCGTACTCTCTGCCATGAGCACTGATATCAACCTCCTTCGGCCTCTCAAAGCAGCCTTTGATGCTATCATCGACCTCGGGCGCTCCCTGACCCAGGTTTGCCCATTCTTCCGGATGTTCGAGGAAACCGTGCTTGTATGCTTGTTCTGACGTCCATACGACACCTGTGGAAGCGCGCGTGGCGTCAAGACCGGCGTGGGGCTTGTGACCCTCGTGCGACTGGCGAAACTGGCGATGGATGGACGAACCGAGTTCTGCGACATGTCAGTAGCTGTCATATCCACATGAAGCTTTCTGCCAGGTTGTAAAGACCTGATTCGTGTCTAGTGTGTGACATGGCTGCGGACATTGCGCGTTGGGCTGCAGATAACAACGACTTGAAAGAGAGACAGCGACTTCCAAGAAAGCAGGAAAGTTGGAGAAAGATTGGGGTAAAACCCTCAAAAGATAAGGATTGGATTGCCGCATGAATCGAAAAGCTCACAAAGCCATCTTCGAGGGCCCGATTTTTTCTCTGATCCACTCTTGCGTTGGGTTTGTACAGCTCAAAAAATGACGTAGGATACAGCATCAGAAGTACACCAAGATAAACACGTACCACTCTCGCTCGGATCCTTGGAACTCGAAAACCGCCTCTGGGAGAAAGCTCCTTTGAGGTGGCTGACCTTGTCTGCCGAGAAAGACATTGTAGATAAGCAGCGAGGTTTGCTTGCGAAATCGGGTTGCGGAATCAAGCTTTCGCCTAGCGGTCGCAGATCTTAGTGGGGGGAGGAGCAGCAGCAGCAGACGGGAAGCAGGATCGGGAGACCCTGAGTAAGTAGCAGCTGTTGAACCTCGAACGTCCAGGAAGTATAGATAAGAAGGAGCTCCAAGGAAACGAGGGGCACGAGAAGAATACGGGGAGGGGACAGCTTTCAAGTTACTAGATGAAATGGTACCTAGGGTAAAGTAAGGTAGGTATGGCGCGTCGGGCCTTTATAACTCGGCGTAACCGCGTGTCGCGGACACCCACAAACGCATGCACGCATCCACACTTGCAAGCTGCGTTGGTGGCACCTAGCCTCAAGCGTTGGTCTTCGACCGCTTCAGCCACCGGGGATAATCAATCGCACATATGAGGGATCCTTGCGACGTCGCTCAGACAGCGCCCAATCAAATGTCTCACGGGGACGATTGTGTCTCGGATCGGTGCGTGTCTCGAGGGCACAAATCCTTTCTTGGTACCCCCAGTCTCACCGCTTGGATCTTCGTATACGTAGCGTACGGTAGTTATTCTGCCGAGTTTTTGCTAAGAAGACGAGATTCGGGGTCGGTGTAAGAACTTTAGATCGGGCATATGCACGTCGGCATTGGAACCCACCTGGCATGCACAGCGTACACACATTGGACAGCTTGGAGATGCGGCCAAACATGCCCCTGTCAGCTTACGCCTCAGGCACCCCCAGATGTCACAGACGCAGCCACAAATGTCATCAACATTCGCTGGGTTGTTACACGCGTGCTGATCGCTGGTTCAGCCGGCCCGTGGCGCCCAAGGGAATAATGCCTCAAATGCCTCATACGCATCCAACCCTATAATCGATGTCCTACTTATCTTTGTTTCAATCTCATGTTTCGTGTCCTCCGGCGAGACCGATGTCGTACAAAAGGGCTCGTATTGTACAAGTAACACTCAGCCAGCATAAAACACACTAGGGCTATTCGCTATCTTCTATGTCGTGTAAGTGGGTAATGCAAACGACGGCGTAAACCTCTTTGGATGCAGTTTGCATAGAAGAAAAAGCTTAAAAGAAACAAGCTTCGTGGTAAAGCAAGGCCGTAAAAGCAATGGTAGGTTACGTATAGCTGGGGAATAGTGGCTTATGTCCGGTTCTACTCGAAAGCTGGTGTTCAAAAGGAAAGACGACGCGTCAAGGGGCACGCATGTCGTCCTTGAAGGAAGCCATACAACGATGCGATGTCAAGCCATCTCATAGGTGATAGCTTCATCTCTTTCAGGCAAAGGGCTGCCATCACGGCGCATCTATCCAAGGTATGGAAAGGAAGCGCCTACTCTCCTAATGTCAAAAGATTGGAGTCGAGGTAACAATGTACATTCTTATATACAGACTGATCAGTATTACTCGCAGTGAACTCTAGCAATCTCATATATCTTTACACCAGCCCCCATTTCTCAAAGCACACGCAAGAAAACCACAAGGAAATTGCTCTCTCTCTGTCCTCAAAGCAACCTACTCAACAGGTTCCTCCTCCAACAACGCCTTGAAACTAAATGGCTCAAACGCCACACCATCACCAATAAAATGCTTACTCATCGCCTCCACCCAGTGCAATCGCAGACTGTGCAACATGGCACTCGTACCCTCCATAACACACAGCACCGCCACAGTCAACGCGAACCAAAAGTAGAAGACAAACACCATGATGAAAGCACCGGCTACGCCTTCAAAAGCGAACGCATTCTTCATAGTCATTTCCCACAAGACAATGGACAGACGCTGATGGGCGAGTGACAAGGCCCAGAGGCGAAGGTAGGAGGCCGTGTGGGATACGCAGTTGAGGCAGAATTCTACATCCCATATGTTAGTTTTGTATCTTAAAAACAGCGGTGTATACAGAAGGGAGGTACGTACCAATAGTGTGAATAACCTGATGGATCATGACTTCACTGAACTCAAACTCCTCTTCCTCCTCTCCATGCCCAATATCTTGGGTAATCATCGCAATATCCTCGTCATCACCGTAGCTGTCGCGACCACCATTTGCGTGACCGTTCTCGTCATCGTCGTCCAGCGCGCTGACTCTGGATGTCTCGCCGATACCACGGTACCCCATTGCGCGGGCCTTGTTGTGTTCGTAGCGGAGGTAGAATGGCTTGAGGAACAGAAGCACAGGCACACAAGCCAGTGCAAGCAGCAATAAGACAACTTGCACAAAGGCTTGACCGGGGTATAAAGGTTGGGTACCAGCTTCGAGTGTGCCAGGGCTCAAAAACATGTAAATCAACATGTTGAGCAGAGAGGGTGGGCTCTCGCCGCGCGCAGGCCAGTCAATGCACCACTTGTATACGATGGTGAAAGCGAGGTAACCGAAGATGGACTGGAAGAAGATCATCCCAGGGACAAAGTTACCCCAGATATCGATCTTGGTCTTGAAGTACCTTGCGTTGACGAGTGACCACATGAGTGAGAACGTCATGTGGGACCAACCGAGCAAGATGGACAATTTCATCTTGTAGGAGTTGGAGAATAGCAAATCGTTCTCGGTGTCGTGCCAGCGGTAGTCAAGACCAAAGGGGTAGGTATAACCCTCGACACGGTGGGAAGTTGGGCCTTTGCCATCGTTGTCCCAGACCCACATGGACTTGAACCAAGGGAGACCAAGAGAGAAAGCATCGCAGTAGAGGAGACCAGTGTAGATGGAGAAAATACCCATCATGAAAACAATGTAACGACCGTAGAACATCATGGAGAAGAGCTCGTCGAGCTTGCTTCGCTCGAGTCGCTTTTCAAAGTAGATCATGGCGCAGGCAGCGAGGAGGAGAATAACACCGTGACCGGCATCACCGAACATGACGGCGAACATGAAGGGGAAGGTGACGATGGCTGGCAGGGCGGGGTTAACTTCACGGTACTTGATCGTTCCGTACGCGTCGATGATAGTCTGGAAACCGAGGGTGAAGCGGTTAGACTTGAAGTATGTTGGCGGTGTCTTGGTAGTCTTGATCTGGTTGACGATGGTAGGTACGGACAGGCCAGCACGCTCGTTCACATCCGACAGGGTTGATTTGATCAATCCAAGAGAGTTGGTAGGTGCCCAAGCCTCAGCGATGAGCGTCTTGCGCTGGTGGTCGTAGGAGAACTTGTTCAGAGTCTCGTAGGTAGCCTTTTCCTTTTTGATGACGACCATCCATGCTGCCAGGTTGCGTCCTATCGCAGTCAACTCTGCATCAAGCGTGGACTTGGTGTTCTTCAAGACGCTGGCGAGATCGCTCAGACGGGTGTTGACTTCCCGGATCTGGTCGCGGCGGAGTTCACTGTTCTCGTCGACGCTGTAGAGGTCGGCACCAAGTGATTCCGAAATCTTTCGGATCTTTGCAATGATCTCCTTGCCGTGAGCGAAGATGATGAAGACATTCTTGTTGGTTTCCTCATTGTTCTCTGGGTTGATGATGGCCTCGGGAATCTCCGACTGGTTCATGTACAAGTTACCGCGGAGGGTACGCCACAGGATGCGCTCGAAGGCGGCAATGCGTTCCCGAGGAATGACACCAGCGACGAAGCCGATGTTCATGACGGTGAATGAGCGCTCCGCGCCCGAGTCGCCCTGTCCGTTCTGTTCAACATCCTGGAGCAGCGGCGCGTCGTCGTCGTCAACGGAATCCCTGATTTGCTCGGTCTGACCACGAGCTCGGTCGAAGAAGCCGCCTGCCTCTCTCAAAACCCATCGCCACTCTGTGAGCTCCACCTCGCGCTTCTTCAACGTCTCGTAGCTCTCGTTCAACGAAGAGATCCTCTGTTCCAAGCTCTGGCTCTTATCGGCGAGTTCGTCGATCTCGGAAGCGGATGGCGCAGTGAAGGGGTTGTTGAAGTCGTAGATGGAGCGCATCGCAATGTCCGATTTCTCCATCTGGGCGCGAAAGTAACGGAGCTGTCGTTCCACATTGTCGAGGCGGCGAATCTCCTGTGTAAAAGTACGTTGGAAGGCGGTCGTGTCGGCATTAAGCTAGCACATGTTGTCAGCTTCCGGTATCATCAAGCCCGTCCCAGAGCCTTTGCAGAAGCTCCAGAACACATCCGTTTATGCTCACATCTCTAAAGTCCATGACACCGAGCTCTCCAAGGCCAGAGACGACCTCACGGCCAATCTCGTTGGCAATGTACAGCTGGGTCAAGGACATGTCCGCCGAGCGGAACATGGTGTCCTTGCTGGGCGCCATGGTGGCGGGTCGGGAGACAAGACTGGGGATACGGCGTGCTTGTCCCGGGATTCGATGGGGGGGAGGTATGCGAGATGGTGGTTGATGGAGCGAGAGCTGCCTCGAACGTGAACGCCTGCGCGATGATGCGGCGAACTGATGCAGCTCCTTAGCGCCTTGACGCGCCAAGCCCGCTACTGATGTCACTGCATCCCAACCACATCACGTCCCTTGACCCATCACAACAAAGGAACGAGGTCATATTTATTCGATATCGAGACTCCGCGGCAGTGAAACCAATATTTGTTTTATCTAGGTAGCCACGAGTCGCACACGGAATTTGCCTGGTTGACTTCTCTAACATCCGAATACGTCGCCGCTTGCCATAATGCAAGAAAGCCCAGAGAACAGGAGACCAGTGAAGTGATAAACGGGGAATCAAAGGATAGCTTTATTAGAACACAGTAAAAGTACCCAAGTCCTTGACCAAAAGCAACCGCAGAACGCAAGACGCAGAACACCATGCATACGTGAGCAGATCGTCTCTTGTGTGTGTGTGTGAAAAGGGCCAAACCCAAAGCTAGCTCGAAAAGAAAAAGAGGACCAATCCCGCCTTCCACCAAGTTTGACAATGATACTGTGAATGTTTTTGTGTCGCTCGCTGTCGTGATGAAGAGAGAGGGAAGAGAAACCCGGATGCGCTGTCAAGTGTGCATTCGCCTGAACACCAGGTATCGTAACCAAAAGCCAGATGCGCCATGCTCGACTGCAAGGAAGGAGTTGTTTAGTCGGACGCAACATGTCGAAATGCAAAACCGATAATCAGAGCGATTGTGAGATGGGTAAGATGGTCTAGTCGTCTATTGTTGCGGGTAGAACGTTGGGGCCTGCATCTGTTGAGGGTAATAGTAGGCGCCGTCCGGGCCAGGGGTCATCATGCCCCCCATGCCTGGAACAGCATAGCTTGGTTGAGCATAGTTTTCCACTGGTGGAGCAGTGTATTGTAGCTGATTGGAGTCCACGTAGTAGGTCATACCGTTTGACTCGTACGCAACCATATTAGGTGGACCAGCAGGAGCTGGCGGGGCGGCGACAGGAGGAGCAGACACTGGCATGACATAGCCGGGTTGCTGAGCGCCAGGAACGAACATAGGCACCATGCCGGCAGGGGGTATGTACTGTGGCTGGGCGCCGTTTTGTGGGGGGTAATAGTAGCCCTGTGGAACGAAGGCTTGTGGCTGGAAGCCAGGTTGCGCGTAAGGCTGGAACGCGGGAGCATGAATGGCTCGCTCCGGAATGTTAGGAGTGCCGGTAGAGACTTGGCTTGGGTAGGAGGGGTGCCGTCCATGCTGGTAGTAGGGTTGCTCGACCGCGGGAGCAGCTCCGTTGATATGCGCAGGAACTTGCTGATGGAACGGTTGCTGCTCTTGTTGTTGGGGAGGGTTGAAGCTCATGGACGCGGGTGACTCGATGCCAGCAACAGAGACGGTCTTCTGCGGGCGAGGCTGATGCATCGGGAGCTGACCTTGCCAATTCTCACGGAACGTGGGCTTCTGCGGGAGAGGGTAAGGTGGCTGTACAGCGCCGTTTGTGGGTGAGATCATTGACGGTCCATTGTGCATTCTGGGACCCCCAGGCGGCAGGCGTACCACAGGACGACTGGGATCGACGAAGCCGCCATTGCGTGACATGATGGAACCGGCTGGGGAGACCAGATTGTCCCGGCCCATCTCACGTGCAATCGAAGACCGCCTGCTCATTGCAACACTAGGGGAGTATACACTGCCCCCGTACGCGCTGGTACGTCTGCTTGAAAGACCTCCACCAAAAGATCCGAATCTACCGCGACCCCGACCGAAGCCCTGTTGGTTGGGTCGAAGCGCCCTTGGTATGAAGATGAAAGAGCGCTCTGTGGTGGGGAAGATGTAGCGTGGTGGAGCAGGGGGTAACGAGATGCGGACTGGCTTGTCACGGCGGAGGGGTGGTCGGTGGTTCGGGAGGCGAGTGTGTGACTTGATGGGGACGTTTTGAAAGTGTATAGGGCCCTTCATGTTTGGTAAGAAGACGCGTACCATGGCGTTGTGTGTATGCACTGTGGTGGAGAAGTTGCGGGCCTGTGGAGGCTTCTGGCTAGAACCTGGGGGTACTCGCGACGCGAACATGGGGGCATTCGATGCAGCTGGGGGTAGTCCAGGCTGAGCGTGGGAGCCGGGCGCGTTGACCGTCTCGTGGAGGTCGTGCTGCCAGGGTGAGTCTGTGGCTTCCTGCGGCTGCGGTCTCATGCTGGAATATGTGTTAGTCGAATGCTCCCTGCCTGATGCCTTGGTTTGCACGTACTTTGCTGGAGCGAATGGCCCTGTGACGGGAGCGCCCCGCCCTCGCCCACGGCCTGCGTGCCTGAAGCCATTCTGTCCAGGTGCATGCCGTGAATCGTGCATGAAGAAAGCGCCACGGTTGGGTATGAAGGCCGGATCCGAGTCGCGCTTCTTCTTGTACTCCTCATGCTCCCGCCGCCGCCGCTCGGCCAGCGTCTCTGTCCGTGATTGAGGCGCACCCACGGCGGGTGCGGCGTCTGCGGCAGCCACGCCCGCCTCGAAGTCGACTACTTCGGCCTCATTGCCATGCTCCCCAATCTTCAGTCCGTTCATCATGATTTCTGTCTCTTTCATGGTGGAAAAGGCGACATCGGAGCGGGCGATGGGCGGAGAAGGTTGACGATGGCTTGCATCTTGCCTGGACTTTGCATCACGCGCGCCATTTGCTTTCCGCTTCGACTTTCCCTGGGTGAGCGAGGGCGCGCTGTCGACTTCGCTAAGGTCGCTGTTGTCTGCGTCGGCGTCCTCGTCGACGTCGCTCAGCAGAGAAGCGTCGCTTTGCGAGTCGTCGGCCAGCGTGGCCACGGACTGGTTCTCATCCTCGTCATCGGTCCGCCTGCGACGCGCGATGTTGGTGGTCCTCTTGCGAGCGGGAGCCATGATTGCGGGGTCTGGGTAGTGGCGGAGGTTGGAGGCGCGATAGAGTCGGCGTGGGGTGGTCGTGGATCGGCTCGTGTACGGCGAAGCGATGACTCGGCGGCGGAGAGGGTCCGGGTGCTAGAGGCCAGCAACGTGGGAAGCGCCGAGAGTGCGGGTCCAGAGGTTGCAGCGATTGCAGTCGTGATGGGGCGAGGTGGAGTGTTTGGGCGGAGGGCTGGAATGGTTCGGCAAGGTTGGGTGATGTCTAATGCCTGTGAAAAGATATGACGGAGCTTGCCGTGCGGGAAAGCCTGGTCGCGGAACCGGATCGATGCGCTACTCCACGTCTCGGAACATGATCAACATTACAAAGCACCAAGCAATGCGCATCAAGTGAATATCCCACAAAGTGGCACAGTGCATTCGACAAAGGGGTCTGCTTGTTTGCCACGTGATTGCTTTTGTTGCCCATCCATCTTTTTGGTTAGGTCATAGCTGCGTGTTCGTCCCAAGCCCAACTTCAGCTGAACACCTGCTAGCGCCGCCATTGGGATGCTTCCAACTGAAGAATTAGGTCAACATAGTACAAGTCTGTCATTAGAATTATACCGCTATCCCTATGCACAGCCTCTCCATGTCTCCGAAGAGATACATCCCATCCATGTTCCCAACTATCCCTGCGCCATTCAAATGCTGTCCAATATGCTAGTAACAAACGCCTGTGAATGCTTCTCGACCCGCAACATATGCAGGTCGACTGCCCGCGGGGTATGCATAACGACTAGGAAATATACATGGAGTGAGAAAAAAAAACACGATTATCATACAAAACCACCTCTTCCTTCCGTTTGTTCACATCATTGCCCAATCATCTTCGGATCATGAATATACGTACAATTCTCCCCCTTGTTGCACTGTCCCTTGGCAAAGAACTTGCACTGCAGCACCTTATGCGGTTTATGATCGCCACGGTTCTTTGGCCTCTTCCCCTGGTTCCTCTCATTGTTACCATTGCTGCCTCCGTTCTGGTCCTCACGTTGTCGCTTGGTACCGCCGTTGGTCTGTTGCTGCTGGTTGTACTGCTGGGGTTGCATTTGAGATTGGTAGGATGCAGCCGGATCCTGCATCTGTGGAGGCCATGCTGGTGCGGAATCATGTTGTTGGGGCTGGGGCGGAAATGCAAACGGGAAGGGAGGAAAGCCAGTTGGGAGGGGTGGGGGTGGAGGAAGTGCACCCCCTGTTGCTGCTTGCATATTGGCGATGAGGGCAGCGATGTCCAGGGGCATGCCTGGTTGTTGAGCTGGTGGTTGTGGGAAGGACATGGGAGGAGGCTGGGGAGGGGCTTGGCCGTTGCTTATGGAGGCGAGGATGCTTTGGAGACCCGCTGGGTCGAATGGAGCGGATGTTGAAGGTGGTGGTGTGTAAACGTTCTCGACAGGAGCCACTGGAGGAGCTGCAGGAGGTTGGCTTGTTGCTGAGAGCGATTTGATGATGTTCTCCAATTGGCTAAAGTCCGGTACAGCTGCTGGCATTGGTGGTTGTGGACATCTCATCAAAACCTTGTCGGGCGGGGTACCAAAATTGACCATGGTGCCCGTAGAAACGTTATCTTCTTCCGATGGCTCTTGAGGTGAAGGTGGAACATCGGCTGGACTTGAGTAATAGACCATCAACGTGTTGTTCTCGCGCTGAACATTGGCGTCTCTTTCAGGGCACTCCGGTACCTTCTCTCCACCTCCATATGGTATGTAGTTGCGTTGGCGTTCCTCGTAAGGCACGACACTGAAATCAACTTGGGATGGCGGTGGCCAAGGTCGCTCCATATCTAGTTCCTCGTCATCGTCATCGAGATCAAGCTCCTTGTGTTGCTTGAACATGTGTCCTTCTCCGCCAATATCACCAGCATCCCGAACGAGATGGTCTTCTTTGTCGTCCATCTCTTCATCGTCAGCCTCATGGTCAAAGTACTTGACTTCCACCAGTGATGTTTCAGGCCGCCAGGTGACGCGTAGATGTCTTCGGGATTCTTTCCGCAGACGCTTTGTCTTTTCTTCTTCGGTCTCTGTTGGAATTGGCTTCTCGGATTTAACAGGCGCCGCTTCTGGCTCCTTTGGCTTTGAAAGTGACGCCATTGTTTGAGCAAAGGAGAATGCGGGTTTTGACGTCGCAGCCGCTGGCTTCTTATCTTTTGCCCCCGGGGCAGCAGATTTGGCTGAGGCCGCTGCTTTCGTAGCAGCTGGTGTAGGGGCCACCTTCTTGGCCGCTGCGTTGATGGAGGCGAATATACCCGAAGGCTTGTTGGTGATCTGAGTAATACGAGTCTTGACGGGAGCTGGTGCTGGTGCCGCCTTTTCGCCGGGTCGCTTTTGTACTGTTTGATTGGAACCTGCTGTTGTGGGCTTCGAAGTCGAAGTAGATGTGGGGTCCTTCTTAACCGCGCTGACGGGAGCTTCAGGCGTCTTGGGTTTCTTCACTAGGGGGTTCTCGTTCGTTGAGCGGCCCGCAGCTTCTGTCGCAGGTCGCTTGACGCCCTTGTTCTCTGTCGGCTCGGTTTTCGGCGGAGGACTCGCTTTGGCCTTTTTGGAGTTGGCAGCAGCACCATCTATGATTTGTTGTATGAAGGCCTTGTGCTTGTCATTTGCGTGTTTCTTCATAGATGCAAGCGCCTTTACAAGCCTAGTCTCTTCAAGGAGCTCAGAAGTCAATGTACCGCATCGCGAGAGCACCTCGTATATAACCGCAGATAAAGGCCCATCGTAGTCTTTGCTTTTGAATCGGTTCGCCAAAAACTGGTAGCACAGATACAAAAAAGGCTTGATCAGCCCTAACTGGTAGAGCACATCAGGGTGGGAAAACTCAAGCGCAGCTTCAAGCGCAGACTTGAGCAAGTCACGCTGACTAGTTACCCGGCTTTTCAGCACGGGCAGCTCACCTATCTTCTTCTGTTCCTCCGCTTCCGTCACAGCCTTGCTGTCGGCTCGCCACCGCTTATGAATGGTGTCAAGTACGTCCCAAACCTCACGCATGCTCTTCTTGATGTTGTCGGAGCTTGGCGATGATGAAGAAGGATGCCAGGTAGCTTTGACGACATCATAACGAACAGCAGCATCGGGATCTTCCGGTCTTGTCTCCGGCACCGGCATCTCTTCCTCTTCTGAAGAATCGCTATCGTAGTCGGACGAGTCAGTTGAGCTTTCACTATCACTAGCCTGTCTCTTGAGTTCTGTAGGCTTCCTTTTGAAGGCTCTCGAGTGAGACTTGGCAGCTGACAGGCTAGCACGAAGCTTCTTACTGTCTGCTCCAGCCTTCTTGAGATCTTTGAGTGATTGTCGAGGAACATAAACAGGAAGCGCAGCTGTGCATAGGTTAGAGAATGTCTTTGTGAGAGTACCATGGTACATCTAGGCTTACTTCTATTGGTAGCGAGATGGAAGGGTTCATTCCCCAATGTCACGAATTTATTCAGTGGAGTAGAATTAGTGGCCTTTGCTAGTGCAGCCTGGTCAAGAACGTAGAGACCCCCCGACTTTCTGCCCTTTGGTATGTCATACTCAGGCACAGGCACTGGTTTCACAAAAGAGACAGGCGCAGCGCGCTGCTGGACAAAAGCATTTGTTGTGCTCTGCGGTGCCTATAGAGTGTTAGCGATGTTTGTGGCGCTACAAGCTGGTGAGGCTTACCTGGTAAGGAGATGCCGTAGGGCGGGCTTGTTGAAGAGGAGGCATGTTGTGCTGCAGAGCCTGCGGTGTCACGGTACCGGCGTGACCTTGAGGAGTTTGGGTTCGCATGGGCATCTGATATGGCGACTGTTGTTGCTGGCGAATAGCATTGGGATCCATGCCTAGCGATGGGTCGACGTTGGACTGCTGACCATAACCACCCAAGGTACTTTGCTGGCCAAACTGCCCATACTGATATGGCGAAGCAGTGCGAAGGCCATGTGTTTGGCCACCGTAAGGTTGGCTACTACCAGTGTAGGGTTGTTGTGTGAATGATCCATGGTGCCAGCTCTGGGCTGACGCGTTAGGTGGCAGCGCCGTGTGTTGGTGCAGCTGAGACTCCCATGTAGGGGTGCCGTAACGGTCGACAGGAGGAAAGAGATGCTGATATGACGGGTCGGAATAGACGTTTTGGCCTTGCATGGGCACTTGGTCACTCGGCACGTGATTAGACGCCATGGTGTGGCTGATGGATGGAGGATTTCTTGGCTAACCAATGTGTCAGCTGTCAGTTTTACAAGGATGTGATTGGCTGATGACGCACAATTGTCTCGAACCAGCAAACAGGATGAATTAGGCGGCAATGCAGCAAGCACTAAGCGCTAAGAGGACTGGCGCAAAGTCACAAGTGTGAATTGTTGCCGTTTCGGGTAAGGGAAAAAGGTCGATAAAACTTCCGGTTCGGGCGGTAGTGCTGTTGTGCTGCTGTGTTGGAAGTGCTGCAGAGCGCTTCCGGCCTTACTGATGGCCGCCGTCGCTGGCCTCGGATTTGGTGGGAAATGCAACAGACCTGGCTCACAAGGCAGTATTCGTGTTCCGACGCCCGCGATGCCGTGTCGCCCCAGTCCACGATGCGTGAATATGGCTTTATGGAGATGGCACTTTGCCTCGCGTATTATGCGATGAGGAACACACTGCTGATGCGTCACTTGACGTTTGCGCGCACCCAGAGCACAGCACGTGTTGTATCTGCGCGATAGCTCGACCAGACTCCCTTGCGCAGCGCGTCGAATCGAAGATGTCGCTGTATTAGTAGCAGAAAATCCAAGATGATTGTCACTCTGCCGTCCACAGTACACGCCTTCCTCACAAACGCCGCTGCCAGCCTGAGCGCGCACTTCCCCCGAAGCAAGGACCTTTCGGTTGAATCTAGCCTCAGAATCAGATGCCCTTATTAGGTGGGCGAGAGTTCACTGAGAAGTAGCATGAGTGTCAAGAGGGAAGAAGGGGGTGTGTTGTGGTGGGCGAGGAGAGTTGAAGAGCGAGGGAGCGCAGCGAAGGGGCGAGCCCGTTTTCAAAGGTCGCCTGCCCGCCAAGTAGCGCGACGCGCTAGCCCCGGGTGGGGCGGGCAAGCTCGAGCTGCATCACCAAAGTCCGGGAGAGAGTGAGAGCGTGGGCAGGCAGACGCGACAGCTGTCTTTTCCGCTGGCTGACTACACGAGACATACTTGCTCCACGCTCTGCATAGCTCTCCTGTGCATGCCATCCATCTGACACGCGGCGGGTGCCCGGACGGAATACAATGGCTCTCTCACTGCGGGATCGCCAGATCGGTATGCGGCTTCTTGATGCGACTGTGTTTGGCACGACAAGGCACCGTTACTGACACGTGATAGCTGCCATCAAGCGCATACTCAAGTGAGTGCTCGTACGCGTGCAAGGCCAGCAATCCTTCGCTGACCTCCGAAAGCCTCAACGCCCCCATCAACGACGTCGACGCTGCTGAAGAGTCCACCACCACCACTACCACCGCAACCACCAGCACAGCCGACATCGAGTGGAAGGTACTGATCCTCGATACCCAGGCGAGGAACGTCATATCGGCAGTACTGCGTACAAACGACCTGAGAGCAGCTGGGGTACCATGAGCCCCTCCAACACGTGGCTACAACATACTGAGGCATACAGGTCACTGTACACTTCAATCTTGCATCCAAGCGCAGCCCCATACCCGACACCCCAGGCATATACCTTATCGCCCCCACAGCTGAGAACCTAGCGCTGGTGACCAAGGATCTGAATGATGGCTTGTACACCCCGGTCTATGTCAACTTCCTGTCAAGTGTCCCCAGGGCACTCCTGGAAGACTGGGGTAGCCAGATTGCATCCTCACCCTCCGCTGCCGAGAATCTCGCCCAGATATACGACCAGTATCTGAACTTCGTTACCCTCGACAGCGACCAGTTTTCCCTAAACATCGAAGATGCGTATCGAAAGATCAACAGCCCCAAGACGTCGGACCAGGAGCTAGACGAGCTGATCGATCGCATCGTCTCAGGACTCTTCTCTGTCGTAGTCACCATGGCCGTCGTTCCCATCATACGCTGTCCAACAGGAGGAGCTGCTTCCGATATCGCGGCAAAGCTTGATCGAAAGCTGCGCGACCACATCCTCAACAGCAAGGAAAACCTCTTCTCCGCCAACACAGCGTCTCGTCCTGTTCTGATCATCGTCGACCGCAATATCGACCTTTGCCCCATGTTCAGCCACTCGTGGATATACCAAAGTCTTGTTTACGACGTACTAGACTTTTCCCTGAACAAGGTCGTCGTGACCGTGCCAAATGACAAGGCAAATCCCGAGAGCGGCTCTAAGAAACAGACCTACGATTTGGCGGCCAGCGATTACTTCTGGAAACGCAACGCAGCCCAACCGTTTCCTCAAGTAGCAGACGACGTCACAAACGAGTGGACAAAGTACACGGCAGATGCAGACAAGATCACAAAGTCTACGGGCTCCAACTCTATTGACGATATGGAGACTCAATTCGCAGCTCATCTCAAAGGCGCCATATCCATGCTGCCCGAGCTTCGTGAGCGCAAAGCAACTATTGAGAGCCACATGAGCATGCTCGAGTCGGTCATGGACGGCATCAAGCAGAGGAAATTAGACGAGTTTTTCCAGCTCGAAGAAGAGCTTGGCAAAGCCACCAAAACAACGATACTGGATATCATCAAATCCAGCGACAAGGGTAACGACCCATACGACAAACTACGTCTGTTCCTCCAGTGGTACTTGACCACATCCGACGACCTATCACGCAATGAGCTCGATAGCTTCACACAAGCTCTAGAACAAGCTGGATGTGATACAACAGCAGTAGCTTATGTTAAGACAGTCCGCCAGATCACGCGCATGACCATGTTGAGCTCTGCACCTACGCAACCTGCACAGGCGTCATCGAACCTTTTCGGCGGTTTCTCAAGTTTAAGCAGTCGCGTCACAGACAAATTCAAAGAAGCCGGTTTGGGCGCGCCCAACTTCGAGGGCGTATTGTCAGGCATTAAGAGCTACTTACCCGCTAACACAGACCTGACTCTTACGAAAATTGTAGAAGCCATTTCTGATCCTCAAAGTAAGTGCTGTCGCCAGAAATGTCTTGTCCAGGGATCGTGCTAATCGTGGTGGATAGATGCAACATCAAGTGCATTGAACAAGATAGAATCCTGGCTTTACTTCGACCCTCGGTCCGCCAACGCCCGTGGTACTATACCGCCAGCTAGCCAGTCTCGAAACAACCAGAGTACCGTCTCCCGCGGTATCGAAGCCTCGTTTGGGCAAAGACGACAAGGCTACACGGAAGCACTGGTGTTCCCTGTTGGAGGCGGCAGTATGGATGAATTTGGCAACTTACAGGCATGGTCGCAAAGGACCAGCGCTGCGGGTGCTGGCCAGCAAAGGAGAGTTGTGTATGGCTCTACGAATCTGTACTCTGCAAGGGACTTCATCGTCAATGAATTGGCGCCTTTGGGTGCTGAGACCACCTGAGTTTGTATGGTCGGCAGTACGCAAGTCACCAGAGCATAGCATGATGTGTCAAAGAAGTGTAAGAAATACATGGCTCAACCTTGCATCATGATATACATAGCGCTCGAGTTATCATATACTTGTGCCTTTTGTTTTTTTGTCTCAGTAAACTGTTCAACAGACTTTGATTATGCACAAAGTGAGGTATATTACATTAGTCAGAAACGCAATGCTAGCCCCTCCATCACGTCACACGGCTTGGTTACAAACGGTCCTCCTTGCTCGGCGTTTGGTATGGCATGACAACCTCGGTTCATTCTTGGGAGCACGCCGATACAAAAGTAAAGAGATCAGCCATGCTACAGAATGACCTGAAACTTCAGCCATGCGTTCCCGATTACCTGGAAAACGTGACAGCAGCATGTTTGATCACCCGGTGAATTATAGACGCAATGGCATGTTTGATCGTCTCGTGGGTGTTGAACATGACTTCTAGTCTTCGTATATGCATAACTTGACATGTGTGGTAAGGCTCAAACGCAATGTATGTTTATTTGTTTTTTGTGATGTCAGAATCCAGCTGCATGCAGAGAAGTATGCATAGAATGATCTGAAACACTTTAGCGTATATCGAGATACCCTGCATCCTTCCAATCCTGCGATCGCTGCATCGTTGTTGTTGTCGTCGTCGTGGCTTGATGGTGTGTTTGTTTGCTTTTTCCCTCCCTTTTGAACGTTATCTCAAACGTTCTCCACTAATGTTTGCTTTTCCCTTCAACTCCACACCTCATCCTGCTACCCACCTGTCCGAACTTCAGCCGTCCGGCTTAGCTGTTTAGCCTTCCTCTTCAGCCGCAATCCTTTGGCAGTCGGTCCGCGAACCGCATCCTTCAAGCCACGATACACATGTGCACGATCCTAGATCGAAGGATCAGATCTGGCTGCATACGTGTTTGAGATCTCCAGGGCTGGCGTGGTTTGATGGACGGCGAGGATGGAATCAAGGATGATCAGCTGGATGCAGATGAGGGTAAAAATAATGACCCATGTAGGTTGCATGGTGGAGGGCTTTGTGAGGGTCGACGGCTGAGTCGTAGTGGGGATGTGGGTATCCTGGCCTGCTGACGAATTAGCATCGATTGTGATGCGTGATGTACTAAGCGCAAGCTTTTGATTGCTCTGTTGTGAGAGATGATCTAGTGGAATGAATAGTCTGATTGGATTTGTTTCTGAGGTCGGAATGTGCCCTAATTTGTTGTTCAAAAGATAGCGTTAGAGAGAGTAAGTCATGTGCGCAGGTTTGTTTGTGCAAGACATAAACGTAGGTCGTACATGTAGCTCGTCAGTACACTTTACTGGATTATGTCTCCAGCGGGTGCGTATGTGAACTATCCTTACATGCTCACATGCTCATGTTGGAATTTTCCGTCAGGACCTAGAAGTTGGTGATGACTGGCCATGAGAACTCGATATCAGTAGACAACTACATTGCGCCAGAGGTATCGCAGTCACATCGACGACTGTGAACAATCTTCATAATATACAATAATCCATATCTTGGTATATATACAATCTATATACAACATCAATCTAGAGTCATGATTCCATCCTGTCCATCTATCCCAATTTTGACCCTCTACCAACAGCGCCAGTATGCAAATGAAAAAACTCTGTTATACAACCCAGCCCATCATCGCCGCAATGGACCATACACCCTATGATTTCTCACGTCCATCGCCCCGCTCCCTGCCAATCGACTGTTGAAGCTGACATCTCCAAACACAGCACCCTTACTCTGCAACGTCCAACTGACCGTCGGCTTCGGGCTCCCCGTAAAAGGATTCATACTCGTCAAGATCCAACCCCGTGCCAAAGGCGCATACTCCGTCCCCTTGATCACCTCCGGAACAGCGATAAGAAGAGTTTTGGAGTGCTCGAACGGAGCAAAGATGATCGCCTTCCCACTGCCACCTTGAAGTGGCGCGCCTGCATAATCGTACGCAGGCGATGCTGATGCCGAAGAAGACGGCGCGGAGACAATCAGCGGCCCGTGTGTCCGCTCACTCGCACCAGATGGCCAAGGAATGCCACTTGTGATGAGTGTACTCAGTACATTTACCAGCGCCTGCAATGCCGCCCGGCCTTCTTGTAATAAGACAAAATTCTGGAGGATAAGATGAGGATTCATCAGCATCTCAATATTATATGCCGACAGTCTCGGTTGGTTGGTCTGATGTGCCTCGCATATTTCAAGCCCCGTCGAGACTTCCAGTAACCATTGCGGTCCGCAGCTCAATACGCAGGCTAGTGTCTGGATAAAGATGTTGCGCAACGCCGGTGTGCGCGGATGATTTGGTGCGTGTGAGAAGTTCCAGAGCCCGCTGAACCCAGGGATGTGGTATTGGACGCATAAGTCGACTATGATCCTCGCTCGCACGACGTGTGTGGGGAACGATGGGCTGGGTTGTGTTCGGTGGGGAAGATCGAGGAAGATGAGATCGAGCTGTGCGTACTCTGCCCTGCCGTCGTGCGCTTGAATAATCTGATCCGCCTGGCTGGAGAAACGTGGAGGTGGACAGCGGGACAAGGTAGTGTCGAGAGGGGTCGGGCGGCATAGCCATGAGACTGAGCCGTCGTGGAGTTGGAGGGGTGGACCGGTTGTGCAGAGTGCTACGGGATCTCGTGCTGCAATGCCGACGAGGAGGAGGGAACGAAGACACTCGTCTTCTATATTTGGTCGTGAGAAGGGACCTGGAGGGGCGAGGGCTAGGGGAAGACCAGATGCGTTCAGTGCGAGGGCGGTTTTGTCTCGGTTTGCATCGAGGCGACGCATGTATTCTGGTAGTCGAGGACTGCCACCTGTTTTGAGGCGGAAGGTATCTGTGACTAGTGAAGTGAATGATTGCATTGTCGGGGCCTGATCGTGTGGGGTATCTGGTCTGCGCAAGGCGTCATATCCATGCTTGTTGAGCGTATCAAGTTCCTGAAAGAATGCCAAAAGCGAGCGTATCTTGGCCATTACCGGCGGCGTGAACGTAGCGAGTTCGCTGGCAAGAACCAGTAGATGAGTAAAGAATTCTCCCGTGAAGCGTGTGACTGTCTGAATTTCGTCTTCGTAGTGCCGTATGGAAGGTACCAAAAAGACATGGCTTCGTCCCATTTTCATCTCATGCGCACACCATGCGCGGTCAAACCAATCTGAGCTGATCACTCGCTCGAGAAAAGTCTTCAGGGGTGTGAACTGCTCCATGAGAGGTGGTGTAAGCCCTGCATTGGGTTCTTGACCCGAAGGCAGCTGAGAGTAGCTGTATTGCTCGACATAGTAGCGTAGAAACTGTTCTTCGTCTGGCGTGACAGCGATATCGTCGAGTGCTACGACAACCGCTCTCGCGTTCTTGTAAATGACATCAATAGCCCCGATGACCCCTGACTTCTCGCTCTCATCTTCTTGTTCGAGACATGCTTGGTCGAACCACAGTCCTTCGCCCTTGTGCTTCTCCTTGATGACAGCCTCGAACAGTGCAGCACTTGTTGGTAGCGGAAACTGCTCAATCTCCTTCTGCCATCCAAAAGGAAGATCTCCGACTGGTGTAACGACTCGTCTGGGTGTGTTCGTGGTAGTGTGCTTCCTACAGTAACTGAGTGCAATGTATCCCTCTTCCTCGCCGTGATGGGTGATCTCGGTGATCAATCGAAAGGGGAAGGTGTTCTCCACATGGTCCTTGGGAATGAATTCTTTTATGAGCGAAGGTGCTAGACGACTAATATTGGACAGAAGGGACGTTGCATCGATGTTGGTATCGAATGAGGATGCTGTCCATCTGTGTCGACTGATCAGGTTCTCTCGTGTCGCAGGTTTGACCATCCGCGTATGCAGACCCGAAGTGTTTAGCTCATCCTCGTCGATATCAAGAAAACTGCACTGTCCGAACCTGGAAAAATATTGGAAAGATGTTGGCAACGCCATAGGAAAATACATTATTCGCCTAGCTTGACAGAAAGATGATAGATTGTTTGATGCTGGACTGAGCCCTTTACAACAAGGCATCCAGACCCTTTTGACTATCGCACCACACCTCTACCATCAAGACCCATGATCCCTCCCATCTGCACCCAAGGACGCCGGCGCACAGCCGCGCTCTGGTCTTGGATTCAGCTGTAAGAATCGCAAGAGGGACGGTGCCATGCATGAACGTTTTCCGTCAGCTCACTGGCGCCACAAGCGGGCCCACGCGCAACCCTCGCCGCACCGACTACCGCATTGCGTATTTGCGGGGTATGGTGGGAAGTCTTGGCTGGCTTTTGACGGTGGGTTAAGATGTATAAGGCGTAGTAAAGGATAGCAAAGTTTGAGCGATCCAGAGATTCGGGTACTATTACGGGTCTGCACGACCCTCGCACGCGCAACAACGGTCACAGCAGGTGACGTCGCAATCTTCGGAAGGGGCAGCCGCAAGGAAGCAAAAGAAATACACATGATCTGAAACATGCAGCCTCATGGAGATGTTCCGGTAAACGCCTCAGGGTGGACGTGACATGCCACACGCTAGAAGTTCTAGAAGGTAAAAAGCAATTACAGCATGCAACGCCCTTTAATCTTACACGGTACGCAATTTTCCGGACGAACCCGTGGGAGCGGAAAGTGGCCATGTTGTATCATGGTGATGAAGTTGAACGGTCAAGTTGAGAAGAGATCAATCTCTGCCATGGCATGTCCTAGTCATGAGCAGATCTGAAGCACATCGTGCCTGAGCCGATCTTGGATAAAAATAGACTGGCGACAAGAGATTTTACTCCCGAGATCAGAGTGTAAAGATACATGTGTTGTGAGAAACCGACACCCAGACTCCAGCGATTACCAAGCCCAGGAATGTGGTCCTGCCAAACCTCTCACGTTTCGTGATGGCCAAACTCAAATCTTCAGGCGGACACTACTACCCGTCCGGACGCAAAACACCCTTCAAAACGCAAAGTTGACAAATTACTAAACAGGCGGTTAATCGATCTTTGCATTTGCGAGCCTGTCATTGGAGCCTGCGATGACGTTGGACATGCGGACGTTTTGCCGTTTGTATTTGCTGTGTTTCCGGAGTCGTTTCCGCGCAACCATGACTGGTACCGATGATTTGGTTACCAGGTAGTTGCTGAAAGATCCGAGAAGAACACTGCCACAGTTAGCATTCATGCAATCTTTATCTGGACAGCGACTTACCCTTTCAGCGCGTTGCGGCCTCGTGAGCCAAGGATTACAAGGGTGGGTTCCAAGAAATCGATCTGTTAAGCATCTGTCAGCAGTCGCTTTGACGTTCAATATGGCCTTGAAGACCTACCACTTCAGTTATCATATGCTTTGGACTCTTGCAGTGGAACACTTCGACAACAGCTCGTACTTGTAGTCGCGTCTTCCTCAAAAGCTTGACGCAGCGGTCAGACACCTCGACACATGCCTGGTACCTGTCTTTCTCTGCCTTTCCCATGGCACCCACATTGGCTTCCGTCGCCATTATAGAGCTGGACAAGGCAGAGAACCCAGGCCTTGCTGTTGGCAACCCGTCGTGGTTCGACAGCGTCCTTTTGAGATGATCTGACTCCAGTCGTCCAGTAGTGCCTTGACTGATGGGTGCACCAGAAGCATCAGTCGTTGCAACTCCCGTTTCCTCGTCGACGGCGTAAACTGCTAGGAGTGTATCGCCATCTCGCAAAACGGTGCCGATTGTCCACTCCAGAGCATATGCTGCTTCGTCGCTAAGATCGGTAGACACCAGGTATACACGCTGTCTTCTCAACCCGTTCTTCGCATCTTCGGCAAATTGAACATAGTCACCCCTGATAATTTGTCGAACACAGCGGTGGGCTTCTGGGCTTGATTGGATAGGCGAAATGTTCAAAGAAAGCTGCTGAGCTGATTTGATCTCGGCAAGCTCATCCTCGTGATCTGAATGAACCGGGGTCGAGAGACCTGAACCGCCCTGGTCGAAACTTGTATGGGGATGTACCACCCCTGATGAGTTCTTCCTTGTCATCCTCTCGCCGTTCGGGCCAGTGACGTTGATTTGTGGGTCGAGTAGTGATCGCACTTTGTAGGAAACTGCAACTTCTCGACCTGTGTACAGTCAGTTTTTGGACAATTGGACATTATTCGCTGCACTTACGCTCTTGCTCAGCAGCAGCCAGCAGACTCTTAGCGGTGATGACTTCTCTGCCCATGCTGTCGGTACCTCCAGACGACTTCCTTGACCGCTGTCTACCTCGCTCTTTTGGCTTCGTCTTTTTCCAGCCATCATCCCAATCTGAGCTGTCTGAAGCGTTGTCGCTGCTCTCAACAGCAGCACTGTCATCACCGTCGTCGTCTGTCGCAAGACGCACACCCCCGCCTGGCGCGGTGGCAGTGCCCTTGACAGGATCAACGCCTTTACGATTGGGAAGCGAAGACAAGCCACCCTCGGAGCGTGCCAGAGCGGAGTCGGAAAGTTTGCGATATGCTTGGTCCATGTCTATACTCTTGCCCGAGTCTGTCACGAAGGTATTGTTCAGTTTCGAGGCGGGCTGCGTCGGGTTCAGCATGCGCGTTGCTGGAGAAGCAGACCGACCAGGGCCAGGTGAACCAGACTTGGACCTGCTCAAGGGCCCACTCGCAGAGTTGTGTCTATCCCTTGAGTTTGAGTTGCCTAGAAAGCCACTGGAGTTGCCGTATACAGAAGACATGGCGCGAGGCTTCGCGGCGGCATCCAGCTTGCCACCTTGAGACACTCGCTTCGGCATAGCGTGTGCGTCGATGGAGGGCAGCATTTCGAACTTGTAAGCCGACTCGGGATTCACTCGACGCGGTGACTTGGGCATGGCGAAGGGGATGCCAGTACTTCCGCGGCTGGAGCTCCTGCGCTGCGCCGGAGTATCAATGTCTAGCATGCTGCGCATGCGCGAGGGCGAGGCAGCCGAGCCGGGACTTTGTGCGCGTGCGACTGGACTCTCTGCACGACGCGGTCCAGAAATTTGGCTGCCCTCGAGGAGCTTGTTCACCTCCCTCATCTCTTCGTCAATGGCAGCTTCGAGTGACGCCATGGTAGCGGTGTGGAGGTGGTCAAGTAAGTCGCGTGCGATGGGGACTGGAAGTAGGTACAGTGAGGCTGAGTACTTGTCGCAGGAAGGCAGTAAAACGCGGTCGTGTTCGCGGGGTAGCAGAAGTGATTGTCGGTATCAATTGGTGTTGGGCTAGGGCATCATAGACGCGGCTAGCTGTGTGCTGTCGGGTGAAGGGGCTACAAGTGCCAGCGGTCCAGTGCAGTACCGAGCGGTCACTGGTCTGGAGAGATGTGGGGTGAGCGCGTGATGATACTAATAACAGCAGTGGGGTAGCAATTCCAAAGACTGTAGCTGAAAGCGATGGCGGGCCGAACCGTAGTATATAGCTAACCGCTGTCGGAAAACAAGTTGTTCCCTAGCAGGTTGATGGAGGCGGACGACATATGGAAACGGAACCTCGAGCAACAGACAATGGAGCTTGTCAGGAACAGTCAGCGCGAGTCGACGGTCGCGGGTATCCTTGGTCCAGGCGGTGGGAAGTGGGCATCGAGCCCCTCAACATCTGGCGGTTTGGCAGTCCTTGGCACGCGAAGATCACTACAAGCTGCCCACGCCGCTGACGCAGGGACCAAACTGTGGCCTGGAACACGTCTGAAGCTGAGTGCCGATAACGAAACTCTTTCCGATACATCATCGCTAAAACCAACAAAGCTGTGCGCATATCGAGTTGCTCAGAATCAACGCATTCCTTCATCTGATGCTTGGCGGCTGGTGGAGCAGATGTGGCTGTGCTTACGGCGCTACTCGCCTGATCTAGCCAAAAAGCACATGTCAAGTTACCTCATCGCTCAATCCCAGCCACCTTAGTTACAGCGGAAAGACACGGAAAGCTGTTGCAACGGTAACATTGGTAAATATATATATTATACAAGACATTCTTTTCGCATGACAAGACGCTCTACCTCTTCCGGGGCAGAACAATGTTGGCTCGTGCAGCAACACCAAGCTTGTGGATAGCGTTGCGCCTTTCCCAGATGCCGCTCGTGCCCTGTACTACAGCAATGAGCTCAGAAGCAATGCGCTGAGCAAGACTGCCCTTGCCACTGCCCGAATTCCTCCTCTTAGATGCAGCGGCCATGATCCACTGAATGGCAGCACGCCGCCGTTGCCTCTGGCCCAGCGGAACGGGAATCTGCAGAGCGACACCGCCTCCGGCAGCACCACGCTGACTTCGAATGCGCATGAGAGGAGCGACCGAATCGATAGCGAGAGTGAGATACAGTACAGGGTTGAGTGGAAGGTGCGATGGAGGTGGCGCGCCGGGGAGCAGCGGTCGCGCGGGGTTAATGGTGGGGACGGGTGATGTTCGAAGGTGTTGCAGAATCAGCGCCATGTTCTGCAAGTCACGTCAGTCATCTGCAGGCTATGCCTTGGGGTTGGCTGACCTACTCGCTCTGCAACGCTCTTCTTGCCGTGTCGCATGAGCAGATTGGTGACCTGGTCGACTACGGGGTCGTGGCGGTGCTTGACGTGACCGTCCTTGGGCAGAGGCAGAGAGGGCATCTCAAATTTCAGTCCTGGCATTGCCGGTGCTTTGGACACGGACTGGATGTCTACGAGGCCCATGTCGATGCCGCTGTTTCCGCTTGACTGTGTCGTCATAGTCGAATATGAGCGTGATCCCTTGGGTGCCATGTTTGGTGTCGTCTTGGGCTTTTGCGAGTTGAGCTTGTCCTGCATCACCTTGGGCAGGTTCGCTTGCAAGTCCTTGTCTCCCTTGACTACCTGCTACATTGTTAGCCTCGGCCTCGCATTGTATGCTGTACATGACCGCACATCTTCAATCGAGGTGCCCTGGTTTAGGTCGGGACCATCTTCTCCCATTGTTTTCGCCATGGACGCTGCCTCTTCAGAAACATGTTCAATCGGCTTCGCGTCCTCTCGCTTCGTTCGGTCGTTGGCTGGCGGCTTGGACGAGTCCGAGTAGAGGCGGCATTGCGACGGTGACAGGCGAAGCGCTGCTCGAGCAGGAGATTGGACTTGGGGTCTGGGCCGGAATGCGATCGATCGCGTAAGCGCGGGGAAGTTTAATCGTGGTGGCATGGCGTTGTGTTGTGTGGTCGGGTTGGTGATGTTCTTGCAAAGTGACGCCGAATATTCAAGCCGATGTCGCGCCAAAGTCCGTGCGCCAACTACAACAGCCGCCTCCAATTACCCCAGATACATCCGTCCAACACGTATCACGACGAACAACCCTGCAAGCCCAAGATATGATTTATCAACTCAAATCAAGATTGAGAAGATGCAAACGTATTTGCTGTCCATTTGACAATGGCACCAAACATCCATCCGAATTGTCTTGAGTATTGACATTTCTTCACCAGTCTTTTTCAGCATACGCGCGGAAAACACGGAGTCACTTTCGCTGTTAGTCCTGAAAGTCCCCGGAAGCATCAGTCAGTTGGGAGTGGTACTGCGAACTGGCGGTCTATCCGATGAGACCTGGACACCATGGTCCAATATCGGTCCAGGGAACGTTACACATGAGATAGGAAATCCGGTGAGTCAGCAGAGAAGACCAGAGATGTCATGTTCAGGGAGCACTTTCCTGCTGCCCCTCGATTGCATTGGATGGCGAATGCGGCGTAGCAGCTGTGGTCGAATGGCTAAGCTCGCTGGGTCAATTCTTTTTTTGAGCAAGTCAATCCGAGGTCTTATGCGGCACCCAAGCGTATATATCAGCTGCGGAAGGTTCTCCAATTGGTAAGTCAGGGCTGCTGCAAGACGGTCTCAATTGCCGCCAGCCCACCGCTCGACCCTTCCATAACGTGACCACCCGGCAGCAACGCGTCAAGACAGGTCTCAGCTCCGAGAGTCAACAACAGTCGTTTCCCTGCCTCTTTCAACTTTCCTATCCCTCAACTTTTGAACTCTCACAAAAGCTATTGAACTCACGTATTAACTATTCTCTGCTGTCGCTCGCTCAACACTCAAACGTCTACAACATCAGACCTCAACAACATATCAACAATGGCGGGACGCGGGCGTGGACGTGGTGGAGGTGCAGCTTACCACAAACCAGCTCGTGAAGTGGCCAGGGTCTATGGGTAAGCCGTACCAGACTATCGATCAGATAGTGCATCACTGTTGTAGACGTCGCAGCTATGCAGACAAGAGCCTATATACAGGTACATACGTAGGTTTCTAACATCGACACAGCAACGGCCAATTCTCCGCACCCAATCCACAAGTCGTCAAGCTAGAGAACGAAATGGCCAAACCTGGCTTGTCATCAGCAATGGCCGCCAGCTCCCTGGATTTCAAACTGCCCTCCCGGCCTGCCTATGGTGTGCAGGGAAGGGCTATCGCACTGTACGCTAACTACTTCGAATTGAAAGCTGCAAACAAGAACAAAGATCTGTACCGCTACTCACTCGCGTTCCGGTCCGCAGAAGAGTCAGAGTTGAAGGACAAGAAAGTCAAGAAGAAGCGGGTGATAGAGATACTACTGGACATGCCACCCTTTTCGACACTCAAGGTTGCCAGTGATTGGACGCAGAAGCTTGTGTGCGCACAAAAGATACCACTCGCCGAAGAAGGCCAAGAGTATACCGTTGAGTTCTACCACAAGGACCGTGGACCTTTGCCTCCACCCACACCCAACGAAGAAGCCAGACTAACAGAAGCTCGCACACGAAACACGTATCACATACGCGTCCAAGCAATCGGCACTGTCTCGCTCGCAGACCTTTTGCAAGATCTGTCTGGACTTAAATCCACCTATCCACTGAAGCTCGAGGCTATTGATGCTTTGAACACTATCATGGCACATGGACCCAGCACAGCGCTCAACATAACCACCGCAGGAAACAAGTTCTTTCCTTTCGGTAACCATGACCAAATGGAGCCACACGACCTCGAAGAAGGTCTTCAGGCTCACCGCGGATACTTTACCAGTGTGCGTACAAGCGTGAGCAGATTGCTCGTCAACCTCAATGTCGCGACCGGCGCCTTTTACAAGCCTGGGTGAGTCAAGTCTGCGTAGGGATCTGGTCTACGTTGTATACTAACTCTGGCACCCATGTCAAGACCCCTTATTGACATGATGCAAGAGGTCTGTGGAAGTTACCCACCACTCAGCGAACAGCATCATGAACAGGTTACGAAATTCTTCTGTCCCATCAGGGTCGAGACGAACTATCTGCCTGACGACAGTAGCAAAAACAAAGAGAACAAAGGAACCAAACATCAAGTGCGTACCGTAATCTTCGCTCCTTATGGAAAGAACGCAACGAATGTTACCTTCTCAAAAACGGACGCCAATGGAAACGTCACTCACCCTACAGTCCAGCAGCACTTCCTGGAGGAGCACAATATAAGACTCCACTTTCCGCGAGCACCTTTGGCCAATGCTAGAAACGCTAATGACCCAAACCCAATTTGGATACCAGCTGAGCTGTGCAAGATCCTGCCTGGTCAGCTCAAACGAGGTCAGCTCACATCTGACCAAACGTCCAAAATGATCACTTTTGCTGCCCGCAGGCCACATGAAAACGCTGAGTCAATCACTGGCAATGGCTTGACAGTTACCATGATCAATCCAGTGGTAAATGGTGAGAATACTAACTTGAAGGAATTCGGTGTCAAGGTCGATCCCAGGATGATCACTGTACCTGGCCGAATTTTGATGCCTCCAACTGTGATGTATAAAGGTTTGAAGAACCGGACTCCGAACAACGGGGCATGGAACTTGAAGGTCTCAGAACTGGGTCTTTCGCCATTCCGCGTCGTGAAGAAGCTGGGTGACTGGTAAGCTTGCCTGGACCTGGAGTGGGTGCAAGACGAGAGCTAACATAGACACCAATCTCTAGGTCTACACTCGTCATCAATTCCGGGAGATCTGATACCATTCCAGGTGGGATCGAAGGCCTCAAGGCCGATCTGCACAAGTTCCGCGAGGAGCTCAACAAGTACGGTCTGAATCTCATCGAGCCTCAAAAACCATGCATCATCAACATTGCACCAGGAATCTTGAAGGACGCAAAACTCCAACCAGAACTTGTGGACACTATTCGGTCATTGGTTGAGACTGGGTTGAAGACTCAATTGCGTAAAAAACCAACCTTCTTGTTGGTCCTGCTGCCTAGGGACAACATCATACTTTACGACACACTCAAGTCTCTGTTTGACTTGACGTACGGAATACCAAGTGTCTGCTGTGTTGGTAGCAAGTTCGACAGGAAGTCAGAGCAAATCTATGCGAACGTCGCAATGAAGGTCAACCAGAAGCTCGGTGGCGTCAACCACGTGGTTGATATCAAGAAAATGACACCACTGGACACACAAACCATTCTCTTCGGCATCGACGTCACGCACCCATCTCCCGGAAGCTCGGAGACCGCGCCAAGTATCGCTGGTGTGGTGGCTTCGATCGATGCAATGTTCTCGCAATACCCCGCGAGCATGCGTCGTCAACAGGGTTACAAAGAGATGGTCACGGACCTGGAGGAGATGATCATCGAACGTCTCCGGTTATGGCAAAAGCGCAACCAAGACCGTCTCCCAAACAAAGTCATTGTCTATCGCGACGGAGTGGGCGAAGGCCAGTACCAGCAAGTCGTCGAGACTGAATGCGAATCGTTCAGCAAAGCATTCGATAGACTGTACGGCGCCAAGGCGAAGCACCCGAAGCTCTCCATCGTCATGGTCGGTAAGCGGCATCATACGCGTTTCTACCCGACAAAGATAGAGGATACAGATGGAACTACAGGCAACCCGAAGCCGGGTACTGTCGTTGATCGGGGTGTTACTGGCGAAAAGTTGTTCGACTTCTTCTTGCTTGCGCATCAGGGTAAGGAATCCAATCCGCACACTGTGACATGCAGCTAAATTCTGATAGTATGTTGTTCTCTGTCACCTACATCATCCAAAGCACGAGAAACCGGAGAAAGCATACAAGACTCTACCACCTCCATATACAGCTCGAAGACCGCCTTCAACACTCATTTCTCCGTATAAGAAGCAGCAGGATCGTTTGTACTAACATGGTGATAGGGACTACAAGGTACTTCGCGACCAGCACACTACGTCGTGCTCAAAGACGAGAACAAGTTCGGAGCCGATCAGCTCCAAACCCTGACAAACAACCTGTGCTACACCTTCGCTCGCGCCACTCGATCTGTCAGCATATGCCCTCCGGCATACTGTAAGTGTCTCTGTACAAAGTGCTTGTGAGAATTGTTGGCTGACTTGATACAACCACTTTCAGATGCAGACATCCTGTGCGAGCGCGGTCGGTCGTATCTAAACAGCGTACTCAAAGGCCCTGGCGCGGCGTTGAGTGAGAGTGCTTGGTCGCGAGATGTAAATCCGGCACTAAGCGAGACGATGTACTACCTCTAAGGGGGAATTGAGGTATGCGGCAAGCAACGAGCGAGTTGTATTACTTGTTCTCTTGCATTCCCTGTTTACTGAGGCAATGCAGCGTTGCTTTTTGCCGCCACCCCACTTGTATCTCGACATGGCTGTCTCCACATTTGCCCAGATGGAATTGGCGTTGGTTTTGTTTGTTGGGTAGAGGTATACGGAGAGGTATTGCAGACATGGTATTGGTCAGGATTAGGTAGGCATAGCTGCCAAACTCGAGTCACTCGTTCTAGCTTTTAGTTTATTGCATGGCGCTCAGCTCAATAATGTTATCGTCACGACTCGGGCATGCAAGGGTCTAGGCGCGAGTGTGCTGCAGGGCGTCACGGGGTCGCGGTCGCCTTTCCCCGCACTAGGCCGGAGCGACGACAGCCAACCACATGAGGTCTCCCAGCCACTCCGTTTCACCCCACTGCAGCCCTGGACAGCACACGGACGGTTGATCTCGCTCCTCGAATGGATTAGCTTATCGCTGGTATACGGAGAGCAGAGAGGCCCGCCTTCACCATGAGCGCATTCTCTCCCGACTCATTCACGACCAAAGCGCTAGGCACCCGCGACACTGCACGGTTCCTGCCCCGATTCACGCGTCACAAGGGTACTCCCATGTGCCTGCAGAGCCCCCCACACTGTGAGACGATACCGCCATAGCATTCCAACACCAGCCTTGCTCGCACCCGTCCCCATTCCTCCACCACGACCGACTGCGCGCAAAAGATGATGGACACGACGGATCGCGGCAGCATATACGAGCACGACATCCCGTCTCTGAGCGCCTCGCTCGAGGCCTTCGACCCGGAGCGCAGCATGCACTCGGCCTACAGCGGCCGCTCCAACATGCACTCGTCGCGCTGGAGCGTGCCCCAGGACGACGTCGACTCCGAGACTGAGTCGGACGGCCCATGGGCGCCCCCAGCCTGGCAAAAGTCCCAATCGAGCAACCACTGGTACAGGAAGTCGCTGCTGGGCGAGAGCGCAATGCGCAACAGCCCCTCCAAGTCGCCCTTTGAGTACCGCACCGACCGCGACGTGACGCCCTCGCGCATACCCCTGCCAGAGTCGCCCTACAAGATGACGCCGCGCACAAGCCCAGAACCCATACCCGAGGAGGAACAGCGATACATGTCCAACAACATTGCCTCGCGCCTGCAGAGCCCTTGCGAAGACGCCCAGGCGGGCGCGGGCGCATTGCACGGAACCGAATCAACCGTGTCGCAACACGACGAGGGGCCAGTAGAGGGATGTAAGTAGTCGCTGTTCCCTCCGCGCGCGCGCTGTGCAATCTAACAGCCATAGTCATGCGCTTTGCTTACAGAGGAGAAGCCAAGTTCCGTACTGCGCCCATTGAAGACACCATATCTACTGTCGCGTCCGGCCTTCACATCTTTACGAGGTCGCGCGCAAACGTCATCTTCACGGTTGCGACCGTCTTCTTATCTTATCTCTTGCTGCAGCCCTGGCAAGCTAGTCTCATTCCGGATGTCGCGAATGTCGCCAACATGGCCAAGCAATTCGAGCCGCTGCTTTACGCTTCGGAGAGTGTAATCCCCCGGTCGCGCGAGCTGGCTGATGCTAGTATCGCAGTCCAAGATCTGGGGGAGAGCGTGCGCGCGACAAACATGTCGGCGTCGTCTGTCATCATCGACCAGCTTGACGACTTGGGCGATAGCCTCAGAATCCTATCAGAAAAGATTACTAGTTTCTTCACCAATGTAGACGGCGATATGGACTCGTAGGTATACATCTGTCTTGACCTCATTACACCTACTGATCTGTTCTCGCATCGCAGCATCCTCATAACCATGGAATGGGCAAAGCGCGAATTGCAAAGCATCCAAGGCCCTAAAGTAGGCATGATCGACACCGTCATCGATAACGTGCATGGCGGCCTAAGTAAAATCGGTCTTCTGGAACGCAACGACGGGTCCCCAACAGCTATTGGCCATGTTGTAAACGATATCCTGGGCCACACCACCCAACAGCGGAGCAAAGCCACTCTGCAACGTACTTTTGACTACCTGTTGTCTACGCTTGAAGAGAACATTCAACACGAACTTGAGCGCGCAGACGTGCTTTTCCAGCTCTTTGAATCCGTAGACCGCCAATTCCACAACCTGCATCGCTCCGTTGCCAAAGAAGAAGACAGTCTTGCCAATCGCAAGGACGAGTTCCTAGCCAGCATGTGGCGGCAAACCATCAACAACAAGATGAAGATTAAAAAATACGAAAAAAACCTCAAGCTGCTGAAAGATGTCCGGGCGTCGACGTTGATTAACAAGTCGGAACTCAAAGTTCACATTCAAATCATACATTCAGTGAGGGATCAGTTGGATAAGGCGAGGAAGAATTTGATTAGTCCGTTGATTAGGGCGGCGCAGAGTAATAGCTTTGGAATCGATCAGCAGCTTAGTGATCTTACGGGCACGTATAGCTTTCTTAAGACGCTGAGGGATGATCAGAAGAAGAAGGTGAGGCAGCAGATGTGGGGGGAGCCGAAGAAACGCATTGCGATTACTGCTGGGGGCAAGGAGGAGATTGAAGAGGGTGAGGAGAGCGAGTGAGAAGAAAACATTTCTTTGGTGTTTTCCCGAGGTCATTCTTATTTCGGTTTACGCACACTCTCCTCATCTGTTCATTCTCTCTCTCTCTCTCTCTCTCTCTCCATCTGGCGGCGTTTTTTCTTCTTCTGCTTTTGCATAGCGAGACTTGAGCTTGGCTACTGCTGCTTCTTCTGATCGTTCTAGCATGGCGAAATGGTTAGACAAAGGAGGAGTGGAGTGCTTACTACACAAACACACATGATCGCATCAAACGAGATGCTGGGCGTATTGGACAGGACTCATGTACGGGCATTGTTGCCTTGAAATTTTTGTAAGGCGAAGAGGAATCGGATGAATATGGACGGGATCGGCAACACAATGGCGTTTGAGTAGCGAAGTATTCGCATTATGTAACTAGGAACTCAATTCGATCATAAAGTTAAAATATGGTTAGAGTTCCCGTCATACTCGTGACTACGGATACGTATCTGCTTATCCTGAATACCATTTGCAATGTCAGCCGTAAAGTGTTTTGTTGCCCTACAAAGCAGGCCTGGTTTGGTTCAGGACGTGTGAGCTGAAGCGCACACTTGGATTGGACGATCAAAGCTGCGTCCCCATTCGCTGCAGCTAGTGCCGCTATTACCAAGGTCGCGCGAAGTGGCGAAGCTGCGGCCTACAAATCCAAGTCTTGATCAAAGCACAAGCCAATGACCGTTGTCATAAATACCAGGCCTCGAGGAAACCTGAGGACGCAATCTACGTTCTTGATGCAGCCTGCGTTCACGCGAAGACTGGGGTTTGACCGAATGGAGTAGAAGCTGCCACCAGTAAAGCCCTCAGCCTTTCGGCGGTAATACGCAGTATAAAGCTGACTGCGACAAGCGGCCCCGCATCCAAATGACAACACTGTAGATTCGACTCCCTTCCACTCGTCGTCGCTTAGTTTCCCTCCCCTTCTCTGGGAACACCGGCCATCACGGTCTAATCGTTCGCCAGAATGGCAGGAAGAGCTCGAATGACAGGGAGAGCCCGAACGAGGAAAGGAGACCGAATGGCAGAAAGAACGCGACTGGCGGGAAGAGCCAGGATGGTAGAAAGAGCCCGAGTGGCAGGAAGAGCCCTCATGCCTCTGCATGAAAATCCTAACAGTATGAAACTGTTGCTATGGAAGCACGAAGCATATTGCTACTATCTCGACAATCAAGAGTCGTCCGACTGGAGTGCTTTCCAGGGTTGCGCGTATTGTGATGGGCTTTGTTCCGTTCTCGAATCTGCAGATTCCGTGCGTCAACTTTTCGACAAACAGCGAGTCACGTTGTTTAGAGGGCTATATAAAGAGTTAGAAGTTATTGCCACTCGAGGATGCAAGTTTGCGAAATATCTCATACGCTGTTTGAGTGAATCCGGGAGGACAGACTGTGGATTGGATGAGCCAATAGATTTGGGCTTTCGGCGAATCGATGAGAAAGATCCGTCACGCGTGCGGTTGGTCTCCCTCGTCAAGGGAAACGAAGATGGGGACGTAAATCTTTACTATCTCGCTACCGCGACCACTCATAGTAAGTGCACTATCGCTTGCCCCATAAGATACTAAAAATTCTTCATTAGATGATCCGGCACAAACTGTAGCTTCTCGTCTTCCAGATACTAACCCGATATCGCCTCAAAATTTGATGTCGCTCAAACAATGGCTGAGTAGCTGTGCAGGTCGTCAGCGTGAACACGAAGGCTGTCCGATCATGATGCCAGTCCGGACAGAACTTCCTACACGCGTGGTTTATGTTGGCACAGATGATGAACAGGATCCACCAAGACTTTATCCAGGCAACGGAGAGATAGATGGATATGTAGCTCTTAGCTACTGCTGGGGTGGCTCTCAGAAGAGACATCAGACGGAAAGGAACAGGATCGACGAATACATGCATGTCTTATCAGTAGAACGACTACCAAAAACACTCCAAGACGCCATTCGCCTCACTCGCACCCTTGGGATTCAGTATATTTGGATCGATTCTCTTTGTATCATCCAGGACTGCGACGAAGACAAGAATCGTGAAATGGCAAGAATGGCCAATATATACAAGAACGCGATCTTCACAATCTCCGCTGCAAGGGCTAGGTCTTGCGATGACGGATTTTTGGGTGAGCAAGAGCGAAGGGCTGCGATTCTCCAGCAGCTTTCCATCAAACTGCCAATGAACTGCCTCAATGGGGCCATTGGGTCTGTACTTCTCTATGACTCCAGGGAACAATTTGGACGCGAAGACACACCAGTCAATAAAAGGGCATGGACTTACCAAGAGCAATTGCTGTCTCGTCGCGTGGTCAGTTTCTACGATGATGCCGTAGAATGGAGCTGCCCAGGTTGCCATATATCCGATGACAAGCTGGGGACCGATGAATTGGGTGTAACAGATCCGACATATTTGGAGGAAAGAGCGTGGTTCTCTGAAAGAACAGATTCTCTGAGCCAGTTCTTATGCCTCGTCTCAGAATACGGACGTGAATTGCCAGACGTTCTTGCAACTCTACCCGACAGTTGGTGGAGCGCAGTGTATGAGTACACCATGGGAAGCCTATCGAATCTAGACGACAAACTTCCCGCTATCGCTGGAATAGCGTCTGAGTTCCAAGGCTTGGCTGGCGACGTCTATGTCGCTGGGCTTTGGATGTCGCATTTGATAACAGACTTGCGGTGGCGAACCGGTAAGCAATTGAAAGAGTCGTCGAGCAACCCCGGCAATAGGGATTTCAAGTATGACGCTCCTACTTGGAGTTGGGCATCTATCCATGAATGCATAATCGATCGCCCCTACAGACTGGATGAGTATGACCTCGAGTCAAACCGGGTGGAGATCATCGATTGCAAGGTCAATCTGGTATCATCCTTTGCACCCTTCGGGTCTGTCAATGGTGGGAAACTTGTAATTCGTGCACCGCTGAAATTCCTCAGCGACAAACAGGTAAAGGAAATGTTAGCACAGCGCTTTTGCAATTCAAGATCCATTGGGATACTATTTCTTGACAACAGGTCGCGGCATCACGCTGACGAACCTACTACGCCACATGATGGAGCGGCTCCACATATCGAGTCAACAGGAGTCTGGTTTCTTGGCTTGTCAAAGCACCCAGACCTCAACTACGAACCCGGTGGCTTAGCGCTTGCGAAGCGAGGAGATGGTCTTTTTGAACGGATAGGGGTCTTCCAGATGTACGTAGGCGAAGATTGGCTCGAGTATGGAACGACTGAACGTAATGAGCTTAGGTCTAGTTGGGGCGATGACTATGTAATCACTACTGTTACTATAGTCTGAGAACTCTTAGCTGAACTATCATCCCCACGAGCAAAAAGCAAAGACCAAGGGAACAATATGAATGTTGAATGATTGATGGATATGTTTTTAGCTGCTTTTTGTCTGGTACGGAGTGAAGGTGGTGTACGAAATTTCTTAGCAAGTTTACAACTGCGGACCTCTTCCGCCCATTTATCAGCGACGTTAGTTGACAAGCGCTGAAAGTACAGGGTATGCTCAGGCAACCAGATTCATAACAGTATCAGAACGAAGTTCGAACATCCCGTATTTTGAACTTGTTGCAAATCGATATTAACTCCAATGTGCACATATCATCATATTCGCTTGCATTATAGTATTTCGTCACTAACTAAATACAGACTATGACTATATCTCTACTGTAAATCACATGTTGCTTTGCGACAATGCAACATTGGTAACAATACTCGAATGCTGACTTCAAGATGAGCGTCGATTGGCGTGCGCGGTTCCTGAATCCCGCCTTCGACTACTGCTGGATAATCGGCTTGATGCGGTCGTTGTCACCCTCAGCAACGCCTGCGATTTGACAACCTGTTGTAGTTCCTGATATCTGATCATGAACTCTGTCAGATCGCTGTCGCTCCTAAAACGCAGTTTGAGCCTCGTCGATGAAGCATCATCAGGCTGATAGACCGGGTATCCGTCGTCGCCTACTTCTATTGCAGTCATAGTAGTTGTGTCCAGTTGAGAGCCATGAGATTTGCATGAAATGTTGATTGCGGCTTGTTGAGAGTCAACGATGGTCATCTCACCTACGTTTACTAGTGTGTTTGTGTTAGTTGGACAACTTTCAAGGGGAGAAGGTGGTGGAAGATACCTGATCCGCTGCGCCAGAGATAGCCTTTTCCCGGCATGCGATTCCGGTGACGGAATGTAATTTGTGCCACCTGTCGTACACTTGACTGGACTTCTAAGCATCGTTTCCATAGAATAACGTCTGACTCTCCATAATTCGTCTTTGGCAGCGTGTTCGTCTTCTTTATTTCCACATCGGAGGCAAAAAAGCACATGGTCCAGCCTGTAAGAGATTCGAACATTTGTTTCAAACCTGTTCAATCAGCTTTACTATCTTCCGATGTTATCTGAATGAGAAACACGTACCTTCAGGCAAGAACGTAGAGTTCCCAAAGCTGCACGGAAACGTCATCGAGTACTCACTCAACACCAATGCGCTCCCTGTGTATCGCGCAATCTTAGTCTCGTCCTTCCAAGGCTCGTTGTTGATGTCTGAGTAGTAGTGAGGAGTCGATACTTGGTCGAACCGGATGACCATAACGCCGGATTTTATCTGAATGTCCAGATCAAGGTTCGACCAGTGTATGAACGCCCGGAAGGTGCTTCTGGAAGGCAATTCGTAGGTAGCTAGACAGGCCAAGCGATAGCGAATGGGTTCCTGGTTACGGTCACGTACATCGACGACCAATAGTCTTTGCTGGCCCATGATTTCGATCATGCGCCATTCCTTAACACCATCTAATTTGCTGAAGATGGTACAAAGATTTCTCTCGACTACCTTGGCCATTCCAGCTTTTGTGAAGAGCAATACTATCTCATTGTTGGTGTTTTCAGAGTCGTATATGCAGTCCCAGCTGGGTTTGTTGTTTACAGTACGTCCAAGGTTCCATTGGTTACAATCGGACCAGCCCAATGTGAGACTCATGTTCTGAACTACGAAGTTGACATCCGTCAAGGGCAACCAGAATGAGCTGCAAATACGTTGACTGTGAGGTTCGGGCTTGTAACTTATGACTAGTCGACGCGTTTTGTGCCAGATTTTCCATTTCTCACTGTTTGGTCCTGAATAGGACTCGTACACATATAGCATATCCTTGTGAAGGTCGCAATTCTCATTCATCTCCATTGTTGGTTGCTTCGCCTTGATGAATAGATGCACATTGAGCACGCATAGGATAAGGCGCTCTTTTGTTCGAGGACCACAATTGCATGTGTGCCGGGAATCAACGGGTGGTAGCTCTGGATAATGCACAGCTCCACTCGACCACTGTACGGGATGCTGCGATCCTATGGAAGATTCAGCAAGAATGGTTGAACAACCGATCGTCGTTGATGTGCGACCGAGCGGTAGACTTGTTAATGACTCTGTTTCTCCAGCAACGAACCCGTTGTTGAACTTGTCCTTCTCTTGCTGCTGCTTCTCGTCCTCGGTAGCTTTCTTGTCAACTTCTTCCTGCTTCTTCTCCTCCTTCTTAGCGACTCTGACCTCAGCCTCTTCTTCCCTCTTCTTAGCGTCTTCCTTTGCTTTCTTCTGTTCCTTAACAGCCCCTTTCCCCTCCTCCTTAGCGTTTTTCTCCTCTTCCTTAGCATTCTTGTCCGCTTCCTCTTGCACCTTCTCCTCCTCGGATCTCTTGATCGATGCAGCTTCACTCTCAACTTTGCAGCATGGGCCTATCAGGCTAGAATTACTTTCGCAGAACCACTGAAGGACTTGTTCGGCATTAGGTCGCGAGTTTTTATCCTTATACATCTGAACGTAATGAGCATACGCGATATTCAGATGGACCGTGATCACTCACCATTTCCTCCACTAATCGCTGGATACTTCTCCTGGAACAGTCATGCGGGGTGCTCTCGAACGAGAAATCAGATAACCACCTGTGTAGATCATCTTGGTAACGGTCGTCATATATCCCATGCAGATCACCACCGATACGCTCCAGCAATTCGGTTATACGACTGCCAGCCAGAACAGTCAACATGTCGCAGAAGACTCGTCCTAATGACCAGACGTCTGAGCGACTATCACGAGCTTTGGCGTTCAAGACTTCAGGAGCGCAATAGCCTCGGGTCCTGGCTGACGGTCCTTCGGTGGTAGGGTGAGACCCATTCCAGTCGAGCGAGATACCAAAGTCGCACAAGTATACAGTTCCGTTGTGCATAAGGATATTGCCCGGCTTGATGTCTTTGTGACGTATGGACTGCCCGTGTAGATACACCAGCGCAGACGCTAAACACCCAAACCATCGTCGTAAGCTAGAGAAATCTTCACGCCGATCTAGTAAGTTGGCGGATTCCAACATGTCCTTGAGCGAGCAGTCTGCCACAGGATGAAGAACGAAAGCGAAATGCCTCAGATCTGTATAGCTTGCGACGAGCCGTACCATATGCGGATGACGGGCCGTGCTAGAATGGCTGATCTTGCGCAGTATATGTAGCTCGTCTATGAATGGCTGAAGGTGTTTTTTTTGCTCCCTTAAGTTCTCTCGCGCCAAGCGTTTGCAGGCGTATAGTCGTTCATTGTCTGAAATATCGAAAGTAGTAAGCCGTACTGTTGAGACCGTAGCTGTTCCTCCTTCACCCAGTTCCCCTGCTTCCTGAAAAACATCGTCTCCATCTTCCAAATTGTGGTGGCGGTTCGGGTCGCCTTGTAGATATGACTCGCTCATGTCCTCAGGATGCAATAAGACATATCGTTGAGCAGCTCGAAACTCCGTCCATGACATTTCGACACCCAGGCCCATGAAGAAGTTTCCCGTCAGAGGCAGAAGATAGTCGTTGACACCTGCGTCCAAGAACCTATTTAGTATATTGTTGTCGCATTGCAGCATGCGCAATAGAGTGAACAGTCGGGGTTTGTCGCTCCATTGCTTAAAGTCATTATGTCGACCGAGCTGCTGTTGGATCTTGAAGATGGTTGCATATTTCAGGTGGCGCATTTGATGTGGCGCATGAGGGATTAAGTGTTTGATAACCTCGTCAATGGGCTCTTTGGAAGATGTACGCGCGGGGCACATGATGATGCCGATTTTGTGGAGATGGGCATCTCCAAGTGAACGTGAGAAGGATCAGGCTGGAAATCGAAAGATTGCTGGGGAAGTGCGGTAGCAACGTTGCACTGGTCAGTCCGATAGTTGCCTGCCGCCTGCGGCTCTTTCGATCCCCGTCACCCCAGCTTCCCCGTCCCTCCGCGTCTTTGCAATCTCCACCATGCACCACAACACACCACACCACAACTAGTGGGATCTTGCTGTAAGCTTTGCTTGCTTTTTTGCAACTATTGAACATCATGTGCTTAAAAAACCCAATTATGGGGTGGCTGAGCCCCTGGCGGCAATATTCACGGAGTCCTCCTGCAAAGCCAAGCACGCCTCAGCCCTCGCACAAACCTGCTGTACGACTCCACGGACGCGCCTGAATCGCTGGTAGATCACTGAGTTGGTTTGCCAACGCCAGCCATACAAGTGCCAAGCAGGAGTCACACTCACCGGTAATAGTCTCGACATGATTGGCGCAGCAAAGCCTCATCGCCTTGTAGCCTGTTGTTCATTGCAAGGCCAATGAGCGACCCTCTGGGTCGTCCGTGAGTATAAACGTTCGGCAGAACCCTCTCTCTTCGGCCTGGTAACTGACTACGGCACCTTTTCATGACGGTCTTTTAAACACATGTTAACAAGATGAGCGACGACCAAACGGACCCTACCACCACACCTACAAGGGGCCAGACAGACCACCTACTCATCAATCCGTTCGCGAAATGGTCTCACGATAAAATGCTAAGACATGCAGAAACTTTCATCCAGAGGTCTGGCCTACGTGACTATAGGGAACACCTTCGCAAGGGTGCCTCTTTGGCACAGTCGAGGAAGTTATTTGACAACGGAGACTCCGGACACGGTGGCATGATCTTAGACGATAAGGAACGCGAAGCGCTTAGAAAAGAGTACAGTGACAACCGGTGGGATCAGTTCGATCAGCCAAAGAGGTTGTACTTCCTGGTAGCCTGTTGCTCACTCGGTGCTGCGGTACAAGGATGGTACGTATTGTAAGATCGCAATGTTGGCCGTCTTTGACGTGAATAGGGACCAGACTGCCGTCAATGGAGCGCAGATATACTTTCAGGAACCCCTAGGCATTGACAAAAACACTAATTTACTTGGTCTTGTAAACGGCGCCCCGTACCTTTGTTGCGCGCTGGCTTGCTGTCTCAATTACCCATTGAACAGATACCTCGACCGTCGTGGTGTAATCTTCGCAACCTGTCTCATAAGCTCGGTCACATGCCTTCTACAAGCCTTTTCTCGAACGTGGTGGCACCTGTTCCTCGCGAGATTTGCATTAGGCTTCGGGATCGGACCGAAGAGTGCTACGATACCTATCTACGCAGCTGAGGCTGCTCCAGAGAACATCCGAGGCGCACTGGTGATGATGTGGCAAATGTGGACTGCCTTTGGTATCATGTGTGGTTATCTATCTGGCGTCGCATTCGCAAAGGTTGCTGGGGACCTCAAGTGGCGACTAATGCTCGGCAGTCCGGTACGTGCGAGTAGATTTAGTATCGCTGCTCAACGCTGACAAAGCCTAGATGGTACTACCCCTTCTCGTTGTTCTATACATATACGCCTTACCGGAATCCCCCCGAATCTTGCTTGCCAAAGCGCAGAAGTCTGGAACAAACGCACAGGAATTTTACGAAGAGGCCTTTCTGGCCCTCAAGAGTCTCCGCAATTCCAAAGTTCAAGCAGCGCGTGACCTCATTCTTATAGACTATCTACTAGAGGAGGAAACGAAGATAATGGAAAAACAGAGCCGGTTCTTCGAGCTTTTCACAGTTGACCGCTGCCGCCGTGCTTTGACGGCATCTGTCATCTGCATGTTCTTACAACAGATGTGCGGTGTCAACGTCACAGTCTACTACTCTTCAAAGATCATGAAGGAAAATGCAAACTTGCCTGATAGGAGAGCACTTTTGCTGTCTGCCGGCTTTGGTCTCATCAACTTCCTGTTCGCGTTCCCAGCGGTATGGACGATCGATACCTTCGGACGGCGAAATCTTCTCCTCTTCACCTTCCCATTCATGGCGATCTTCCAGTGCATCATGGTCATAGCTGTGTCTCTACCGGATGGTACCCCACGACGTGCGCTTGCCATTGTGGGAATGTACCTCTTTGGTATTGCCTATTCGCCGGGTGAGGGGCCTGTACCGTTCGTCTATAGTGCCGAATCCATGCCGCTATATAACCGCGACTATGGCATGGGTATCGTCACCGCCATCAACTGGCTTTTCAACTTCATCGTATCCTTTACATGGCCAAGCATGAGTAACAGTGACAAGGGATTCGGACCATCAGGAGCTTTTGCTTGGTATGCAGTGTGGTGTCTCATCGGATGGTGGCTAATCCTGTTGTTCGTGCCAGAGACGAAGGATTTAACATTGGAAGAGCTGGACCAAGTCTTTGAGAAGCCGACAAAAGACTATATAAAGCATGGGTTAGACCAACTCCGATGGTTCATCGGGTACCACGTTTTGAGAAAGAGGGGCATGAAGAATGGAAGACCGATATTCCTTCAGAAAGTCGAAACAAAGAAGCGACGTGACCCAAGGGGTGACTACCCCTAAATGACACAGCGACCAAGTTAATCGACCCGGCTCGCAGCCGAAGCAGCAATTTATGGAAATGGATTGGCGATTACGTACTGTTGCGGCGTTTATGATAATTGTTATTTTGAATGTCATCACCAAAGCATACATTCACGTAGTTATTATATATTGGTATTGGACCGTTTTTTCGTAGCATGTTGACGAGTGCGGATTCTTTCCGCATCTCCATCGGCAACATCAGCCACCATGTGCTGACAGCTCAGGGTATGTTTAGGCAGCCAGCTCTTGTATTAACACCATGTGAAAGTAGTAGGCTTGTTATACTCGACAGCTACAGTTCTTATAGAGCATCGACTCGACTCAATCCATAGGAAATTACCGCATAGCCCACTCCTCCAATCCTGCACTACTGGAATCCACCACCCCTTCTCAACACCTACTCTCGATCGTCCAGTCCTCAGATCTGACTCGCAACATCGTACACGATACATCCCGCATCCAAGATGCACAAGCGCGCCAAAAGATCCGCCCGTAGACCAAATAGCACTCCTCTTCCCTCGCCCCAAGTCCTAGACCTCCAACCCTCAGGAACCCAACCCATCATCCGCCAAGGTCGCGAAGCAGTCGTATACCACATTCCCATCTCTACACCCTCCCTGTCTCCACCCTCCTCACCCACGCTATCCCCGTACAAAACCACAATCTCCCTCCCCCGCCACTCCGCATGGACATCAGGACTGCACTTCCACACCACGCACACCGAATACCTGCGTCTCCTCCGCGGCGCCATCTTTATCTACATTGATGGCGAGACCCAAATTCTGAGCGCGAAAGCAGACGGCAGCGTAGCCATGTACAGGGACAAGACAGCAATGAACGAAAGACCTGGCTTACAAGTCAAAGTAAACAAGTACGCGAGACATAACTGGGGCAGAGCACGAGAGTACCTGTCACGTAATAGAAGAATGGGCGTCGTACCGCGTTACCCAGAAGATATGGACGACGAAGTTGTGGTGGAGGAGTGGACGGAGCCGGTGGATTTGGTCAAGCCGCTGTTCTTCTGGAATCTAAATGCCGTTGTTTTGGCGCCGCTGGATGCGCGTCTGGAGGGGAGGAGGAAGAAAGCAGCGAGGTGGGTGTTGGGTGGATGGTGGGTGTCTTTCCAGCTGTTCACCATCTTTCATGAATTGGATAACTGGCCTGTTCTTGTTGGGTTGAGGGGTGTGCTGGGTGGGGAGACGGATTCGCCGCGGGTAGGGAGATGGAATCGGAAGATTGAAGGGGCGGTGGAATGGTGCATTATCATGACTGTGGTGGGATTTGCGAGGGCGGTGGGGTGGGTGTTGGGTGTCAAGGCTGTTGAGAAGGAACGGACGCCGGAAGGGTTATGGGAGGGGTATCAAAAGAACAGAGCGTGGAAGCAGGGGTGATGATCTTTGGTGTATCGCGCGAAATTTGTATCATCTTCTAATGGAATAGGAGTCTATAATGTGAGCACATGAATCAGCGACGCTACTATAACAGATCCGACTTCTCCTTCTCCTCGTCGACTAGGTCTCTAAACTCCTCAAACGCTTTCTGATCCATCGGATACGTATGCTGCTCAGCAGGATAGCTCCTACTCTTAACCTGTAGAAACGGAGATAAAGAGTCAGTGTATATTTCACAAATATTCATGCACTTGCAACTTGCCTCATCCTTGTACTGACTTATCGCCCTATGCGCCTCTTCCCACACGTTACCATACTGCTTCACAAACTTGGGCAAAAACCTTCCCGGCGGGAAGTTTCCCAACATGTCGACCTGCACAAGGACCTGCCCTGAGCACCCATTCCCGGCCCCAATCCCAATCGTCGGGATCCGCAACTCCCTCGTCACCAACGCAGCGACTTGCGCGGGTACAGCCTCCAGTACTACCGCGAACGCTCCGGCTTGCTGCACGGCGAGTGCATCGTCCAGGAGCTTCAGAGCGCTGTGTGTGGATTTACCCTGCACACGGAAACCGCCGAGGGCGTTTTGGCGCTGTGGTGTGAGACCGATGTGCGCGAGGACAGGAATGCCAGCGGATGTTATCTTGGAGATGGTGGGTGCCATTTCGGCGCCACCTTCTAGTTTTATGGCTTTCATGCGGCCGATCTTTATCATACGGATAGCAGACTCGAGGGCTTGGGCGGGAGAGATCTCATAGGTTCCCATGGGAAGGTCGCCGACCTATTCAAACATTCAGCATCAGCAAGCGGACATGACTTTGAGATAGTCGTGAGAGTGATTAAGGGGGTATGGTGAGATAAATAGGGACATACAGTGAAAGCGCCTTTCGTCGCGCGCGCCACGGACTTGCAGTGCAGCAGCATCTCTTCCATCAATACTTCGCTCGTATCTTCCATGCCGAGTGCGACCATGGCTAGACTGTCGCCAACTAGTATCATGTCCATGCCAGCATGGTCGGCGACATGAGCGCTGGGAAAGTCATGCGCGGTGATCATGGTTATGGGCTCGCCTTTGCAGTAGAGACTCTGAAGCGTGTTGATGGTGACGGGTTTACGGGCGTTTGCTGGCGCAGAGCCCAACGGTGAGTGCGAACTCCATCGCCGTTGTGCGCAGGTCAAAGTGGTTCGCGGTATCGTCGACGACGTGGATGGTTGGTATACACGTGGTGCTGCAGCAGTATATCGCGAGCATGTTCGCAGCACGTTTACGAGGGCACGCGACATGGCAGAAGTGTCGCAAGTGCGGTGGTGGAGAGGATTTTTGGAGTGAGAAAGATTTTCACAGCCCCTGGAGACGACGCGAAGATGTGTTCGTAAGCCATGGCTTTAGGGCGGGAGGGGGGTTGCTTTTAAGCAACATGTGCAGAAAGCTGCGCTGAAGATTGTATACCTAACCTTGGAGTTTTGGAAGAACCGAGGGTCAGCCTCCACCCGCCGAGACGCCAGGGGTGTCACCCTTCCGACGAGTCGAGTGTTCGGTACACCCCGCCTCCAGTCATGAGTATTCAAGTGTCATGGCGCATATGTCTTGTCTTTTTGTTTCATGTCTCTGTTCCCCCGCGAAACAGTTAGCATGTACAACGTGTGGTTCGGACCAGCGGTGAAGGACTCAGGCAGGATCTCGGGGAAGCTGCGGCATTGCTCCACAGTGATTGGATGTCTGTTGTACCGGCTGCAGCACATTCAAACGTGAACGCGCATCGACGAGGATGACCTCTGAGTCTTCCTCCGGGTCCTGTAGTGATAGGTTGGGTCTTGCTGGCGGATCGCCAGTCTTGACTATCTGTTGCGAGCATCCCTCATTGTTGTCATGAGCAGTCGCAACCGAGCATAGCACACTTGGCGCTAGGTTCGCGTCATGTTTAGTCGTAGACTGTCTTTAGAGTATCGGCTTGTCGATCTGGACCCTTGATGTGGCTACCGGTTTGCGGTACCTGGTGCTGCAGCCTTTAGTTTCATCACATGTGTACTGTCTGTTAGTAGACGCGTAGATAGATTATGTGGTAGTAGGTCTCAAGATGAGACGATGAGTGGCAGAAGAAGCCTCTGTGAGTGCTGGAGAAGGTGTATCACAGCGATGGCGCGTCATGTTCTCGGCGATGACTGGCCGAGGAGACGTGCGCAAGCGTGACATGCCGGCTCTCGACGCTCGTGATCACGACTACCTCCACCATTACTCCTACCTGCTCCCTCCAACACATCCTAGCCAAACAATAGATAGCAGCACGCATCTGTCAAATACGACACGAATCAAAGGCTACGAACAGCCATACCTTGCCAACAAACCACTTGTAGTTTGCCAACGAACGCGCCCCTCATCCGCTATCGATAACCCCCGCCGCCGACCTCACGAGAGCTTCCGCCACGAGCGACGGACTACCCTAAAGGTCTTGAATACCCCCAGAAGGAAGCGCAGCTTCACGACAAGGACAACACAGCTCTATAGTGCTGTAACAACCGCGTCAAGATGAGTTCGCCAAAGAGACGTATCGAGACGGATGTATGTGGAGACCTTCACCCTGGCGATAGATGAGAAGGAACAAGAGCTAACAGAGGTCTTTTGTCGAACTATACAGGTCATGAAGTAGGTTGCGCATTGTCAGGCTGGAATATAGAGTGCTGACAGTAGAACAGGATGTATGTTGATCGGTTTCCTCGCTCATTTGCCTCACGTGCCTGGCACCCCTATGGCAAACCTCAGAGCTGATAGCTGATGAAATGCAGGCTTATGAGTGATTACGAGGTGACGCTCGTCAATGACAATAGTGAGTAGCATTGCGCAGGTCCTTGCCACATACATAGCTAATAAACTGCAGTGTTAGTTATTTATACCATCCAGATACGCAACCACGGGAAAGATGCTAACACACCACAGGCAGGAGTTCTACGTCAGATTCAAGGGCCCAGTAGAGAGTAAGCCAGAAAATTCCACGCAACCAACAATTTGCTAACGTAACATAGCGCCATTCGAAGGTGGCCTCTGGAAGATCCACGTCGAGCTCCCCGACCAATACCCCTACAAGAGTCCCAGCATCGGATTTGTTAACCGCATCTTCCATCCCAACATCGACGAACTGTACGACTCACCCGCTCCCTTCCACCACGTCACCAAATTCCCGCTTACATACACAGCTCCGGCTCCGTCTGTCTCGATGTCATCAACCAGACCTGGTCACCAATGTACGACATGATCAACATCTTCGAAGTCTTCCTTCCTCAACTCCTGCGCTACCCCAACCCAACTGATCCTCTCAACGGAGAAGCTGCGGCGCTGTTGATGCGAGAACCGAAAAGCTACGATGCCAAGGTCAAGGGTACGTAGTATAAAGGTGCTAGGAGTTAAGTTGGACTAAGATTAGACAGAATACGTTCAAAAGTACGCCAACAAGGATACCGCTGAAGACTCCGACAAAGACGATGGCGATGACGATGAGATGAGTTCGGTTGGTAGTTACGAGTCAGGTGATGAGGATGAGGCGGCAGGGAACATGGAGGATATCTAAGCTCCTATCAGTCTTCCTTTGTACTGTCTACGGCCCTTCTTCTTCACTCTGTCTCCATGGCTGGCGATATGGCGCACACAGGGTACGTTGCTAGTTATTTCCCGGGTGTTCGGCTGCTTCACGGTTTGGGTATAGGATGAGACTTTTCTGTTGGCATTTTCGTTGATTACTTTCGAACAACATGAGAGGGGTTAGAGAATATGCTGTTGCCCTCCCATCGTCCTTGGCCTTGTAGACGCAATGGTTGGAAAGCCTTTTCAAATTTAGATCTTTGTATCGTTGTTTGGGTTAGTCTATGTTATGTCAAGTGATGTATCATTGTCATCGTTTGCGATTGTTTTCTTCGCTCTTATAAACTCGGTATTAATTTTCTGTTCTTTCGCTCGACCTTGACAGCCAAGGGACATCTAGCCGACGGAGGACGATCGTTCACATGTTGAGACGGGTTTCTGCATATCACTGGACACGTTGCCAACCTCTAAACTATATGTGAGTGCAAGCTTATGCTTTTCATGTGCGATCTCATCCGTGTGTAAACACCCAATCAAGCCATACCACCACAACAACACACCGTGAACAACGCATCGCGACTACTATGCACATTGGAATTCGATATTTACGAGCTCAAGTATGCAACAAGGTTAATGAGATACAACTTTTCTCCGTTTTCTCCCAACATGCTGTTGTGTTCACTCCCGCTGTGAACATCCCATTGCACACCTAGGGTGTAACACCAAAAACCAGCTTTTTTACTGCAATCTAAGTCCACTAACTGCAGATATTCCTGTGATAGCCATAGCGGAGGCTCTGAAGCCTCGAGTCCTGCTAGTTGTTTTCATGTCTAGGCAGTCTCATTGGGCGACGGGTCCAGATTGTGACAATCTACATGGTCCAAAGGGGCAAACCTTGAAGCGCACGGTATCAATTGAATTCGAATGTGGGTACAAGGGCTCCTTGCTGTTTCTTCATTGCCACTGTTGAACCAATTGAAGCACTCTATCTTTAGTGCTCCAGCCCACAGTCCTCTCGATCTCGTGGAGGAGATCAACCACGATCTGTTGTTCTCTCGGATCGACTAAACATTGCCCAGCAAAAAACAGAGGCTGGACTGAGTTGATGCGCACTGCTCCACTCAAATGAGCGAGCGCGATGCCAATGATCTCACGACCGTGCATTTGGCAGACATGACAGGTAGCAGGGTGAGGTTCCAACTGGTAATTCATTGTGTACCCATCAGAAGTCTGGGTTTGGGGCATGCTCATGTGCAAAAGTATCTGACCCATGTGATACAATTGCTTGGCAGACGCGCACAGCGAGGTACTGTACCACACCTCGTAGAAAATTGGCTTGTGGTCAGTTTCAGATCGCGGCAGCATAGTGTGAGAAAGTTGAGACCCAGTTGAAGGCCTGAAAGTTGCTGGCAAACCGTCGTGCCAAGATTGAAATTGTCGTTGTAAGGACCACCAATACTGTGAGAGCGTTTGGCTGAAAATGCCAGTCTGCGTGGCACTTGTTTCCGACGAGAGCGGATTGAGAGAAGCTAGCAAGTTCACCAACCGAGCCATCAGCCAAGTAAGTGAATTGGAGAGGAGGGATTCTGTTACCATGCCCTCGCACCCCCGAGAATCATTGTTCGCTGCGACAATAGCAACGAGAGAACCTTCATCATTGATGGGCAGACCAGCTTCTCTCCACATGATGAACTTCTCTGTATCAATTCTCGTCCCAGTCCGATTGATATCTGGTCGCCAAGTGTTAGATGTAGTTACAATCTTATGGAGACACGACTTACATGCAGCGAGCATATCTTGTTTAACGATATTCCAAAATGCAGCTCTTCTGGAATTACAGGCGAAGTTCCACCTCGTGGGTACTTCGGACGGGCCCACGCTCAGCATTCGTAGGGACTTCATTGGCTTTTGTAGGAGGCCAAAAAGAAATTGCGCCCCCTTTAAGTGCTCTACCCACTCTAGAGTTGAGCCGTCTAGAAACTCGTACATGGAGAGGATTGCCAAAGCTGCTAACACATCTTTGGGACGGACTCGCGAGCTTCTTTCGGCTGTGTCACTCTGCCCCCTTGAGGCCGGATCGTTGGACACCTTATCCGCTTCGCTACCATCATCCTGAAACACGTAGTCAGGGTCCTCAAGCGTGTCGATTGCGTTTTCTTCCAGAAAGCCCAGTATTAGAGAGATAGCGGCGCCATAATTCTCTGCTGCTGTGCGTTGCCAGTTGACTGATCGTGTACTGTGATGTATTTTGGTTCCACTATAGAGTGGCGCATCGTCTTCCCTCACTGACTTGTGCAACTTGATACGTCCAAATGCCCTAGCTGCGCAAGCAATGGCGGCATGCTCAAGAAGTGCACTCTGGCGTGCCTGTACGGGCACATAAGCTGCAAAGTAAGCACCGGTATCGAAAATATCCATCCAGCGCCCGGGGCCCTCTGAGAAATGCCGAAGAAGGAAGTCTATCTCGCTCTCATGCCTTAGATAATTGTCTTGGCGTAAATAAGCAGGTCGCTCTGCAGAGCTCCATGTCATGCTCGATTGAGAAATGAAATCCGGAGAGCGACTGTGCGGCGACGTCCATCCGACATCAGGGAGCGAATGCGGTACTGTAGTTCGAAACACATTCTCACAAGCGGAAAGATCGTAGAGAGATGAGGGCGGCGTGGATAATGGTTCCTGTGCGAAGGAAGATGGCGGCTGCATGTATGATGGAAAGATACCGGATCCGGGAACAAAATCTACAGGTACACCGAGAGAGTGCAGAACAGAGTTTGCACTAGTTGGCGTGGAGATGATGGGATGTGCATTGCGAGAGGTTTGCAGCGAAGCATTTGATAATCTTTCATAAAGTGCTGTCATGTCTTCAAAGCAACTAGATATGGTATCTGAGCTTGGCGAGGGAGGGTCCAAGTACGGATTCGAAGTATTGATGAAGGTGACTACAATGGCGTCAGGTGCAAAGACGAGGATGAAGGCAAGGAAAAAAAAGAGTCAATTTCTGCAGATGAACCAACCTCTACTAGGGATATTCAGCCACACAGCATTGTGCTTGAACGTGTCCTTGTATGTATAGAAACGCGTGGACACAGCTGTTTGGGACGAGCTCTCGCCATTCATAGATGCATTATGCTGATGGCGAAAGACTGATCCAGGATTCTCTCTGCATTCTCTTGAGGATTTGACGCATCTTCTACATATAGGTTTTTCTTCATCACATTTGAGCTTCCGCTGACGACAAGTGAGACTAGGAGCCGTCAGGCGCTAGTAACTGGGAGACAAGATTAATACTGACCATCCGGTCCGCGACCGCATCTTGAAAGAGACTCGAGGACTGATTCCTTTTCAATGCCCTACTAGGTAACGCGATAGAGAGTAAAACATTCACAGAGGTTGGATACGTATGTCGACTACGATGGACACCGCGACTGCTATAAATACTAGGAAGCCATGCGTATTTCCTGTCCAGCTGGGTGGAGAGCAGAACGCGCTGTTCCAGAATACGGCAAGATCGCCAACATAGATCTGGACGGAATCGCCCTTCTACCGTAGCCGTTTCAGATGATTCGCCAAGCGGTTGCCTGAGCTAGATTCTCTATAGCCTGCACTATGTATCCAGTCAAGAATCAGCTCCTCAAGCCGAGGATACTAGTACGAATTTGACTTCCCAGAGCCTTGAAATGATCATCTTTGACACATGAGCAAATCCTATCGCTATATGTTCACCACCATATAAACAGCTTAGAAATAGCTCCTGGAGTGCTTAGTATATACACCTTGTACGACGAGTAATCAATCTTTTGACAGAGCTAACAAGAAGCGGGGTAGATGAGAAGACTGCACTTTGAGAGGTCTTAAAAAAAGTACATATGGCCGATCTTCGTCTATCCGCGCTGTAGACGGAGATCGGACGTGGCGTTTTCTTGGAGCTAGCGTCAGCAGGATCTCATAACTGAAGACAGTACACTCATGTGAACAGAGCACGCGAGTTTATAGGTCTACGGGTTATGCAACCCAAAGCCGTCGTGCTCTTATTTGGTGTTTCTGCAGCGCAAAGAACCCAATCGTTATTCACAAACCTTTTGGTTGAATAATAGGAGGCGAGATGAGTGCACGTTGACAAACCTATAGCGAAGGGAAATTACCTCATGAGAACAGTCTTCTCAAGGATTTAGTCAGCCTGTACGTGCAGAATCTCCCAATGTGTTCTATCAAACCCTGCTGGAGAAGGCGATTGCCCTACTTGTCGGCAGCACGGTCTAATTGTGGCTTCTTGCATTCGTCACGACGAAGGTTGTCCGACTTCTAGCATGCGCAAAATAACAGATATCCTAACGCATTCTTCCCATCCAACCAACTTAATACTAGGAGAAGTTGATCGAAGCTCAGAATACAGTTTGCATTGCCGTATTGTTGATGACTCACATTGCATGCACAATAGTGTCTACTGAAGATTTGCCCGCGATCATTGCCTTTGGTAGCCGCGAGACCTGTTACAGATGCCCCAGGCTGTTTTATCAAGTGGCCAAAGACTTAACAACTGATCAGTCCAGTTAGGGAAGTTCACTATAGTAAGCTAGCTTTCTAGTAGCTCCGTTAAGATAAGTTCTCCTTTCTGTCTTCGCTGTTAGACTAACAACGCTCTAGGAAAGACGCAGAGATAATGCCATCTTTACCCTAGAGAATCACTCTAGAATTGAGACCGCATGGCGCTGATGTTTAATATTGGGCCTCGGAAGACGCTGCAGCTTATCCTGTACATAATTCGCAATCAGGATGCCCTGCTTCATCAGTCAGGGGCGAATCCTTTTCGGACTGTGGGCGAGCCTCCATTAGAGTGGATTCCATCTGTACTCTTCGAAGAGACATGATGTTAGCATGATAGGAAGCAAAATTATAAATACCGGTAGATATTCACTTTAAACATGACTTCATTCGAGCGATAAGTGGCGTGTTAATCGTGACACATGTCACCCCATCTCGTAGCGTACAGTCCTAACGGCGATTGGTTTAAATCGGAAGGCGGACAGGGTGGACGACGCAAGATTCCTACATCCAAAGTTGAACCTTATGCTGACTTGGACCGTGAGGTGTACACGAGGTGGCGTGACCTGATTGGACCATATCTAACTCAGAACAAGATCAAAGCATAGATATCCTGACTGGGCCATGCCATATCACAACGAACAGCCGCTCCATTAGAAAAATAGAACCGAATTCATGGCAGAACAACGGAAACCCAAAGATTGATGAAACAAAGAACAAAAGTCACGTTGATTTAGTAATGACCGTGTGTTCGTTACTCGGATTTGCCACCTGAGTGTTTGTTGCTACGCACGATAGCCCTCAAAGGCACATCGACCGGTTGTTGCATAGTCATCGAGCAAAACATCTTACCAAGATGTTTCGCCGCTTCTAGATCGAGGCCAAACGTGGAAGTAAGGACGTCTCCAACTCTAGAGCATTGGATTCAACAGGTTAACGAAGCACTTCCCCTGCAGTTTTCGGTACAAGGAATCAAGAAGACCATTACAAGCATGTAGATCCCGAATTCACGCCTAATCAGCAGGAGGAACATATCTGGTGAGTTTCTTATAAGTTCTTGTCGGAGCAAAAATACCAGATCAAATCCGTGTGTATTGAGTCTATTGATCAAATAGCTGCCCTCGGGGTCAATCCACTCCCAAGGCTCTATATACCCGACGATTGATCACATGATGGTCATGTGATCGGCACGTGCTTGATCCATTCACATGTATCGTTCTGACAGTCATTCCATGTACCCAACGTAGCTCTATCACTAATCTAGTTTAGGTGTCAGATATCTTGGTACTTCGCAGGGTGGTGAGTCGATTCGGACATCGTATTGTGAACATGCCTATCATGCGCGAAATCTCGATCAGTGGTTCATGAGGTCTCATGACTACTGTCTGCTTTGCCATCTATTGGTTTTGGGGCCGCCTGTAGATGTCATGACGGAGCATAGTGGCAAGGAGAACGCCGGATAGCGTCGACCTCATGTACGTCGATTTTCTCAAGTTTCTCAAGCGCGCAGATTGGTTGAAGTCGAAAGATCTTGAACAGGGAAGTGATAGGCTGCCGCCGCAAAGTCTAGATTCGTTGTATGTGCTGTTGGAAAACGCGAAAAGCCAGTCACACATGTGGATGAGTCTGACGTTATTCGGCGGTGCTATCGATACCACGTTTGCATGTGATTTGTTCAGACAATATGATTCACTCGAAGAGTTGATCGTATATCCTGTAGTTGTGGCGTTGAGGCAGGGGTTAGGCAGGTTGGACCCTACGCGGACCCCTGCCTCCGGCAGAAACTGCCAAGAAGTGGTGGCGCCACCGCACGACATCAGGATATGTGATATTGTAATGAGCTGGGGTATGCTTGCTACTCTGTGCGCTGCTCAATTACTAGCAGCTGCACGAGAAATCGAATGGCACCGCAGCTTAGCCAGAATATATAGCGGAAGTGGACGGATCTCTGTTGATATCTATGCCAAGGCCAGAGCCCCACAACTATTCGTCAACCAGCCGCAGGGCCTGGAACCGGCCCCTAGTCGTAGAGCCATCGGCAGGTAGACATGCATGTCGAAAAAAGCGCATTGTTCATCGGGATGGCAAATCGACGGCCGGCAGACTTCTGCAGCAGTTTTCTCTGCTGGGTGAGCGGTGTGCTACGCAGACCAGCTCGTTGATCCTAGCAAGCAGTCTAGTGCTGAGCTGAGCCTCGAGACGAAGATCGGCAACAAGGTTTTAACCAATCAGAGTCACATGGATTACATGAAATGTTTGTGCCAGTTCCCCTAGCATCTAGATGGTGTCCGCGCGCCAAAGCGGGGGTGCTCAAACGTTTATAGTTGCCTCCATAAGCCCTCCTTCGTTGATGCTAGATGCGGAGACTTTACAGCCAATAGTGCACCGCTGAGCGTTCAACCAGGCGAACGACAAGGCAGCTGCTTGGAACGGCATGCGGCCTTTTTGTGCTTCTTACCCGCCTCTCCTGCAAAGAAACTACTCGGTAGGTTTTGAGCTTGTGCAGTCTAACGGCAACGGCTTTTTTCTACCTAGACTAGCTTCTGGACACCGGATTAGACCCCTAATGCCGTCGACTGTGCAGCTCAGGTCCTACACAGACGAAGCTGTAGAGCCACAAACAGCAGCTATCGTGGCAAGAGGTCTTACAGGTGGTCCTATCTATCTGCACAAAGATGCTTGTAGTCAGAGCCTCTCTAGCTGTAGCATTACCCAGCTACAGCTGTTAGCTTGGGAGGGACACGCGCGAACCACTCACATCGTCCCCAGTCTGTTTTTATCCTAGTTAAATCATGACCAGCGTAAGGGGAGCGATGTCTACAAAAGTTAGCCCAGCTATAGAACGTGAAGTAGGCGCTGTTACCCATACAGAGAACGGGATAATTAAAGTTTACCTAGGTAGTTTAGACCTAGTGATGCCCGTGTCTGCTCGACTACAAGGCTCTTAATCGCCTAACAGTAGCCGCTATTGCTGTAAAGGACTACTTGAACATTTCGACGATGCTGGTTTGCCGCAACCCGTTTTGGGAAATGCATACAGGTGCCTTTCCGCTATGATTGCTCCACGCTGAGGATTCCAGATCGACGGTTCCGTTTCAGACGCTAAACCGTCTTACTACTAGTAAGGGCGCTATGTGTTGGGAGTGCTTCTGAAGCAGTCTGACATAGGAATCTCCATCGATGTAATGGCTGATTGAACGGATCTAGATGAGGCACAATACGGTGCCATGCGGTCATTTAGTAAGCCGTGACAGAATGTTTCAACGTTCAAATCCAGCAGCGCCTTCTCCAAAAACTTCTAGTATTATGGACTTTTCAAGCTTTCCAGCTCACCCTATGGCCACATATGAACGAACCATCCCGGAGGGTAAAACTCTCCCTCCTCAGAGTCAGATAGACCCATCTCTCGCAGAGCTTGGGGCTACACCTCCCGGTGTCTACTTTGAGGACTCCGACCCTTTCGATATGCACTGCTATCCTGAGACAGAATGGTCGAAGACCGCTCTCTTCTGCACTTCGACTGCACTCAATGTTCCTCCTGGAAAGAAGCCGCTAGCAAATACCTCGTCTAGAGCGTCTAATGCCCAGCTTGACCCATGGGCCGATCCTACGTCTCAGTATCCGTGTTATGTAGAAGACTCCTGCGACACTTCCGTAGCTGGACTTGCCAATAATACTACATCGAACCTCTGTCGCTATAACCCTAGCCCCAGCAGTCCTGCACCTACCGCGCTAGCATCTAAGCCACCAGAGCATAGCCGTTGGAGCTCGACTCTAGTTCGTGCTCCATCTATTCAAAATCCTGATTCTAAATTTACTCAACGCAAGCGAGGTCGCCAAAGCCGCTATCATTCCTCCTCAGGAACCTATGCCAACCCTATCACCAATAGCGCTAGTCAGTCAAAGTGTATTCCGCACACCGAAGTTGAGCGCAAGTACCGCGAGAAGCTCAACGCTGAGATAGAGCGGCTACGTAGGGCCGTTCCTGTCCTACCACAAAGTAGCACAGCTGATGTCATGAACCTCTCAAAGCCAAGCAAAGGCATGGTGCTAGCTGTGGCAGTCGAGTATATAAAGGAGCTGGAGAGTCAGAGAGATGCAGCGGTGAGAGAAGTAGAACGGCTAGGTGGGGAAATTCGGTTCGAAGAAAGGCGCGAGTGCTCAAGGGGGCATAAAACAGAGGTGTAGAGCGTCAGATAATGACAGATGTTTCTATGAGCATCAGGTTGTATTCGTAGGCTGTCAGGACTGCACTGTTTCTGATCTGATCTGAGTGACGACGATTCCTAAGCTGACCTGAGCAACAACGATTTGTGCCGCAGCAGCGTTTCTTGCTTGCCCAGCACCTGTATCACAATCGACTATGTTCCGCTGCCTTTGCCGTGTACTAAACCGTCACCATCAAGCAGAAGCAACGCATGTAAGCTGTTAATCGTTAGGACGCGGGCTCATCAAATGCACAGAAATCACATACTCTTCTAGGAACGGCCTGTAGCTCTCCTCCAACGAGGTCAGATCTACCCATTTTGATCCACTGCATGAGAGCTGCCAACACGTACGTACAGGAACCAAGAATAGCCCCGCCCTTACCGCATCGTGCTTCTTAACCAGACAGATAGGGATAGAAGGTAGCTCCTCCAGATCCTGAGTGCTGCTCGATGGCAGCACTAGCTGAATGCAAGCCACCTGAACCAGCAGATCGACCCACCCTACAATATATGCCTGGGTTGGTTCGTATACCCTGTATATAAGACCCTGATCAATGGCGGTCTTCTGGTTACGAATCAGCATATCTGCGTAGGTAGAAAAGCCTCCACGCACTACAATCTGTAGACCTCGGTAGAAAGTTGTCGTTGGGGAGCAGCCTATGGTATGCTGATTGCTCGTATATGCTGGTGTACGGCTCTCCTCGAAGTTCTCAAACCTCCTCTCGTTTTGATTCCCCTGCGGCTCCGTCAAGCCTACGCAGTTCTGTTGAATCTGTAGTTCTAGCTCACGAGGGAATCTTTGGGTACGCCATCGTGATTCCGTGACCTGGGCGGCCTGACAGAGTAGTGGTTCAGTAATCTCCTCTCTCTCGACTAGGCGATTCTTTGTAGGGCTCATACCAAATTAATTGACCTCACGCACTGCTCTTGGATGCTACCGTGAGACGCATTGGAAGCATTATCTGTCGAGAGAGGTTGGATATCTGAAGAACTGCAGCTGGTCAGCAATTTGGCAAGAAGTAGAATAGAGCAAGCGCTTACGTGTTGTTAGAAATGGGACAAAAGGCCGGGTCCTCTGTTGGCCCAAGTTGCACCTGTACGCTTTCGCTCACCGGACCGGACGTTGTACATTGTGAATCTTTGGCCGACGGCTATTGCTCAAATGGTTAACAGCTCATGTCTAGTCGAGAATTCAGGTCGAATAACCTACAGAGAGCAAATGCTTGATAAATGTAGCATTGTAATACTGAAACCCATGCTTTCTAACTTCCACAGCCCATGCAGCGGCAGCTTCTCGGTCACATGCAGTAGCAAGTGGGTACAACAGTGACTTCATCTCGTTCAGCTCGCTGACGAGTTGCATCAGGCGCCGCTCATAAGACACGATTGATCTTCTAGCTTCGGCGTAGATACACATCCTGTCTTTAGAACGACAATAGCTACATTGTGGCCGATCTCCGCTACACTAGTGGCAGTCAGGTTAGTTTGTGGCGACGAAAGTCAAGAAATATTCGCTACCTTTCTCTTGAGAGCTCTGCAATTGTTGCAAGCTACAGTTGCTTTTATGGTACACCAAGGCGTTGTTGCCTTAGAGGACGGGAGTAGTCGCCTACCACCAGAGGCTATCGCTGTATCAGACGCAGAGGATGATCTAGAACATAATGTATTTTCAGGGATAGACATTGCGAGATCATAACAAGTCACGAGTGAAGCCAGGCTTAATCTTTCTGGCTTGTATTTACGTCCAAAGGGGAGTTTCGGCAGAGTTTTATAATAAGGAGGAGGTTCACCAGCGCACAGATCCCCGCAATTCTAGACAACCCGCTTCCTAACGAAGTCCGCTGTACAAGATTGCACATCATGCAGACCTATGCGAGAACGAGCAAGGCAATGCATCTGCTCACTGCTAGTTCTGTACTGTAATGTACGTAGCCCCCGAGTTGATTTGTGATGACTTCGGAATTCCCGCTGCAAGTTGAGGTTATCGGTCCATTCTGACGCCAATTATAAACGACCATGTACATATTTTGTCACATGTGTCGCTAGAACTCCGTAAACAGACCTCATGCGATCTGCGATGCTAAGACCTTATCCTAGCCTGCCATGGTTCTCCGTTAGCGTATCACATTGTCTGTGCGTACATAGCGACATGGATCTTACTTCCTTGTGTTGGTGCGCTTTCACGGCATCATTTTGTCATGCATACATAAGCTTTGCTCTGCTGCTCTACCCCGGAGCCCTGTCTCGCTTCGCACAAGCGTTCCCTAACCTGCACTAGCTCTATTCAACGCATCAGCTCTCATTCTGTTCGCATCAGCCTGTCGGCCAGCCACCTATTGAAATCAATAGGCAACTCACAGGGTATATGAGGGGTTACAATACTGCTGCTTTGACATAGTTACTTCCCCAGCTGGTGAATCTTCATTGATTGACATCCAGGCAAAATTGCTGCCATGACTGAGATCAGTCAGCCTTATGTCGTATATGTTTGACCTCCATTGAGACTCACAAGTCATACAAAGGCCATATCCAGTTTCCTCCATCGCTGATATTAGGCATGGTCAGGACGAGGTCTTCATAGGATAAGTCGACAGCCACCCAAGTATACAACGTATCTGGATTTGGGCCGACTATAGTGCAATTCAAAGGGCCGGAAAGTGTATGATATGGCCATAGAGTATTCGTTTTGTTGACAGCATCCAGGATGTTCGTCACGGCTTGTTGTCATTGAGATATTGGATACCATACTGAAGGAGTGTTAAGAAGAATACAACATGTGTGCCTCGTCATTCGCCTGAATTGTAAATGCTGTGGCGTCTTGCACTGCATTATCATGGGGGTTTGAAACGTTCGCCGCATGAGCAAGTGGATTAAGGTATGCCAAACATATTCCGGTCGCGACGAGACAATCGATCAACTTCAAATCCCTTAGCAGCGTTTCGTCTATCTTCTGGAATGCGATCTCACCCTGGTTTATTATATGTTGGAGTGGCTGTTCATCGCATGGTGGAGCTTGCGACTTGGTTTCCTTGCGCGATAATCCACAAAATTGACGAAGAGCTGAAGAGGTGGGGCGGCGGTAGAGGAGCCCTGGAAGTGCCCCCACTGAGCCATATCCACCTTCCACACCTCCCGCCACGGTTCCAGAGCGCATAACTTTGTGCCCGCTGCTCCACTCGCGAAGAACGACTCATCCGCACCCGCTACTTCTTAACTCGCCTCAATACCGCGATGACGCCACGCCGCTCAAGCTGCGCTTTTACGCTTCAATGGATGCGCGAAACGATTCATTGCGAATACCTGCTTGCTTTTCTCTTTACGAAACCGACTCCAAATAGTTGTGGTTATGGTTGTCACGCTCCTTGTCGACCTCAACGTCCGCAGCTTCGCCTCATCGTGTTCATCAACCTTGTGACCCCATTCTGCGAGCACAGCCTTTATCTTCAATCGTCCTTCCTTGTGCAACATCTCATAACTCTGCAGCTTCTTAAAGTCTTCATTAAGGTATACCCTCATTAGATCATGAAACTTTTGGCCCCCAAATCCTATCCCAGAATAGCCACCGGGCGTTGCTCTAGCACAGCCCCTCTCACGGGAACATACTTTAATATAGGAGTTCAGGAAAGTAGTTATAAGCAGGAAATAAATCGACGACATGTCGGTGACGTCTCACCCATGCTGCCAGTGCAATCCTGGCATGAACGTTCATCACAGCGCTATCTGCAGTGGCTGCGACAAGTACATCTACGTTGTCCGCTACAAGTGTTTGGATCGCCCAGAGTGGATTACTGCTCTGACTGTCTCGAGAACGCCGAGTTCATCCACCCCCATAACCGCTCCATGCCTTTTGACGAGTGCTGCAGGGGCGACAGCCGCCGGGCACAAAGCATTTTCCCATCCACCAACTCACTGCTCACGCCGCCTACCTACTCATTGCCCATTCACTCACCTCTTGAAGGTGACCAAATCCGACTATTGCGAATCTTACCCACGACCGTACCCGGTGGAAGCGGCCACTACCACCAAGATGGCGAGGAAAGTGATTGCGAAAAGGAGGACTGCAGAGCCATTACTGAATGCCTGTTCGAGAGGGTCTTCGTGCAGGATTTCGAACGCAGCAAAATCCTGCGTGACGAAGTGTGCTGTGGAGATGCGTGCATCTGCACCGAGTGTGACATGATGCAGTGCGAGCTTTTCACTGTGTCGTTGGAAGAGGTTTCAGGCGCTTTCGATGCACTGTCCTATGTGTGGGGCTATGCGGACGTCAAAGAGCAGATCAAGGTAGATGGCAAGATAATCGAGGTGACGATGAATCTGGAGGCAGCCTTGCGGAGAGTCAGAAATACGGAAAAGGCAGAGCTACTATGGGTAGACGCTATTTGTATCAACCAGCGGGATGTCGAAGAGAAGAATATACAGGTCATGCGCATGAAGGATATATACACAATGTGCGAAAGAGTACTCGTCTGGCTGGGCGACGTAATAATGGACGGGACCGGAAACGACAGGGATGAAGTCGACGTTGCGATCAAGGCTATATCTTTTTTGAAAAAAGCACACAGAATCGTGCGTGGGAAAGACACGGTTGGCAAACTGGATTATCAAAAGCTGTTCATGAGTAACGCTGGGGGCATGCAGCCTTTTGAAGATCCGAGCACGGTCGGTCTCCCCAAGGTTGGTGCTCCGGAATGGGAGAGCTTGAGCAAATTCTTGAGCAGGCCATGGTTTAGTCGCGTATGGATCATCCAGGAAGCATCGAGTGTGGACCACACGCTATTAATGGTAGGAAAGGATGCGAGACTCGGCTGGGGCCAACTGTCACAAGCGGTGGATTGGTTTATAGCTCGTGCTTACCCAGATGACATAGATGGCCTCCGTGTATTGAGCAATATCTCCATGATCGAGACCTGTCGTAGGTATAAGACTCCGCCCTTGATGCGCAGACTGGATCAAATATCTAGGTTCAACTCTACAGTCCCGCATGACAAGATATATGCAGTACTGGGCCTATCCATCGAATCCCTAACACCCGAGAAATACCCGCGCTTACGCGTCGACTACGCCCGAGACTGGGAAGCTGTGTTCCGCGATGTTGCAAGACACTGCATCGAGATGCCCGGCTCCTACGGACCCAAGCCGACACTGCATATCTTGAGTTCAGTACGTCAGGAGCGTGACGACGAAGGAAATTTTGCCTGGGACAAGGGACAATCTTCCTGGGTGCCCAAATGGGATAAAATCCACAGCAACTGTGCTATCGTGCGGCGCATGTCCCATTTTACTTTCCGAACAACATACGATACCGAACCGTGTATTGTCGAATCGCAAGATGACCGCATACTCTCCCTGAAAGGCATCGTTGTCGACAGAATCGCGAAGGTATACACCCATCTGGATGATATCCGTGAAGATCACAATCCAATGTTCTCCTTGAACCAGTTCCGCGCTGTCATAAAGATATGGAAGGCCATCCTTTGGGGCTGGGAGGTTAATGGCCGCGGTCGGTACTCGCTTAAAGGGGAAGCATTTGCGAAGGTCATTACGGAGGGTTCTGCTTGCGGACCGCCTGGAACGGGGTCGCCTGGGCAGTACTTTACTGCGTATTACGAGTTTGGCCTTCAATACGCGAAAGAAGAGGAACCAGGCACACTTCCGAAATTCAGCGCTTTCTCTGCCCCAAATAAGCGAGACATCGAAGAGCAGCCTTGTACGGAGGATGTCTCGAGTGAAGAAGCCTTAGAAAGGCTATCTTTAATGGCGTTGAGATTCAACATCGCTGTGGATATTGGACGGGCCATCTTCGTAACTGAGACGGGGTACATTGGCAGTGGACCGCCGATTACACGAATTGGAGACGAGGTATGCGTACTGTATGGAGGGAAAACGCCCTTCGTCGTGCAGAAAATAACGAAAGGACCCAACTGTCCAGAGTGGCTGGACCTTGACCTGGATCTTGCTACCCGCTCAGTCGAGAAATTCAAAGGCTCATTGAAGAGCTGGAGTCCGTTCCAGAAAAAGAAGTCAAAAGAATGTATACCAGCGCCTGCGAAAAGTCATGCTCTTCCCCGCACCGACTGCTATCGTCTCATTGGTGAGTGCTATGTTGAGGGACTCCAGAAGGGAGAAGCACT